TCTTCCCCCTTACTTCACACTGACCTGCTCTGTTCACGTAGTCCACTCATGAAACCGTCTGTTAAGTTAGTTTTCCACCTCCCAGCCATGTGAGAAGCAGCAGGCATAGTCCGTTTAAGCCATTTGAAGGAAACAGAAAAGTCAGCCAGAGGAATGAGGACAGGAGGGATGGGGAGAGACTGTAAACGTTGAGCAACAACAGACCCGCGTATGTAGCTGCTTTTGTGGGGGGGGGGAGGTTTGGATTTCATTTAAAGTTTTTTTATATTAAGTACAAAACATATATCTTAAATATATGTTTTAAGCTGTAATCTAATGTAATGATAATAATTTTTTCTAGTTATTAATATACGGATGGAGCTGGGTCCTAGTGACAGCACGGCACCCCTCCCCCCGGAATCAAAATATTTGGTTTGTTCCATTTGCTACCTCAGAAACAGGTTTTCCTGGTACATTCCCAGGCCAGTTTCAACAAAAAGTGGGTTTTGCTTGTTGTCTTCATTTTTTAACACATCAACCAAAACTAGTTTCTGCTTGTTGACTTTCTTTGTTTTGAAACAAAGAATATGTATAAGCTACAGAACAGGCTGACATTCATTTTATTTTATTCCCCCTTCTCCTGAAACTGCAGCCATGGCTCTCTATAGTCTTCCGCTGTGGATCGTATGCAGCTATTGATATCTAAGGGGTTAAAAAGGGATTTCTTAGGCTTTAGTTTTCCAGTAAACCACAGTTTGAATCATCATCCACAAATTGAGAAAACATGGAATAGCGGTGAACCTTCCCACCGCTGTTGATCTGCCAAACAAAATTGCTGGAACATCAAAAAATATATAGAGACTGGGAACAAATGAGAACCATGGGAAAGTTCCAAGACCAAATCCACAGGTGACTAAAAAGAACACAAAGACACGTTTCACTTCCACGGGAAAGCATCCAGATGTCTTTGAAGTGTCTTTGGCTGTGGTATAATCTTAAACAGGTTGCCTTTGTGACTGAATAAAAACACTTTTGCAGAGAAGAAAAGGGTCAAAACTCACAGAAATCAAGACTGATTGCCAGTTTTTACATATACTTGATGGCACCAGAGTTTTTGGTTTAAGAAGATTTACTTTTCCTATATTCGATTTAGTTGACTTACATTCCAGTGAACAGCTGAAAACATCATTGTTGCATATGTGTTTTTTATCAGGTTATCTTCCTTTGATAATATTTGTTTAAAAGTTGATTTTACATAAAATTGCCCCCTTAACCTTTTAACACCTTTCAGTATGAAATTAAAAAGCAAAGACAGAAGAAATAACTTTTTATTTTTACAAGACTGTCAAGTTTTTTTTTCTTAATTATCTTTGGCAATTCCAAAATCTTACAGGACAAATGTATTGATACAGGTGCATCTCACAAATTCAAAATATAATCAAAAAGTTCATTTACTTCAGATATTTAATTAAAAAGCTGAAATTGTGTTGATTGTATAGATTTATTACACACAGACTCATATATTTCCAATAGTTAATTTATATTATGAGAGTTTACGACTTAGAAAACAGTTGACAAAAAGTAATTTAAGTAGATAATTGCTATGTTATTGACCAAAGAATTGCGGGGAAGACTGCTGATTTGACAGTTGTCCAATAGAAAGTCATTGACTCCCTTCACAAGGAGAGCTCAAGTCATAAAAGGTCATTGCTAAAATTGCAAGCTGCACACTGAGGACTGACAGTGACTGATAGTTTGCACGACTGCCTAAAAACCCTGACTGTAGATTTAATTAGATAATTTGAAGTGAAGTCATGATCATGTGTCTTACCAGCAACACGTTCCTCTTTAAGCCTCTGAAGAAACTCAGTCAAGATGAAGAGTTGTTTACTGTCTACAGCACATAAATACAGTTGAGGCTGCTCTGTCAAAAAGAAACTCCTTCTGCCCTGAAACCCTTCACCATGCTGTTTAAATACTCAGGAAACTCCTCCTCTCTTTGACCTCTACAAACATGCAAAAGAAAACTATAACATCATCACTTACATTTCACTGTTAGCCATAGGTGTAAGTAAGTCCACCCTTGATTCGTACTTTACTTATGATGACATTCTAGAAAAGAAATCTTTAGTCTTAAATTGGAGGGAAATTTTTCATGCCCTCCCTTTGTATTTTGGTTTAGTTAGTGAAATCAATATCAGTGCAGTGAGTTTTGTTTGGTTTATCTGAGATCATGTTGGCTTAATTTTATTTAAAAATAAATAAATAAATAAAAACAGAGCATTATTTTAGATTGTTTTCCAGGAGATGTATACCGCTTAATTTTGGAGAGGTTAAGCTTTTGTTATACCATCAATAAAAGTTGCACTTTACTTCCTGTGGGAGAGTCTGTCTCTGAATCATTTAAACAGACATGCTTTTCAATTTGATCAGGTATAAGTAATATTTAATGTCCATCTGTATTTTGTACCCCTTGGATATTTTTTATGTATTTTTATTTTGCCAAGGAACAGTCTCAAATAAACCAGCTTAGTTACACAGGAAGGAGAGAAACTGAAATTAAAGTCTTTTTACAGATTCTCAATTGGCTTTGATTTGACTTTGATAAAATAAGGCTAGACTTTTATCCAAACCATCGAGTTGTAACTCTGCTTTTGTGTTTCCACACGTGTCATATTCCTTGATCTGAAAGAGGCTATTTTTGTTCTCCAATATTATCTTTAGGATAAATAAGCCATGAAAACAAATGGATAGCACACTTTTTAAGAATTTAAATTTGTGAAAAGAAAATAAGTAACATTGTATAATTTTTAAGTATGCCCTGATTTGTGTTGGTCTAGCACAGAAAATCCCAATAAAAACCATATAGGTTTTTGACTAAAGCATAAAAGTTTTAGTTTTTTTATTGGAGCAATATTAAATAGGTTGAGAACGGCTTGCCTCTGTTCCACGTCTTCATTTGAGTCCAACTTGAACAAAACATGGACAAAACTCATTGCTGATTTGATCCTTTTTCAGGTACATGAGCTCAAAACCTCTATGAGTGGATGCTTTCAAATAAAACCTGATTCCATTCCTCAGATGTCCATATATTGGTCAGCAAAGCCAGGATGGGTGATTTCCCCGAGCCATTTTTAACGAAACGAAAACTCTGTTATTTCAGCTGTCAGAAAATAAACAAGGAAGCATAATAGCACACTCACATCTTCCCCAAGTCATAAAGTCATAATCACCCAATATCAGTGAATAAAGCAAAAGGCTCATGAAAAGTAAGATCAGTTCAAAGAATTAATTATCTGAAGTGTATCTTTGCAAAAATCACGTCTTATCTTTTAGGGAGAGCAATATCAGCCAGCATTGTAGAAGTCTCTCCCATATCGAGCACAGGAGGCCCGAAGTTCCCTCTTAAATTCATCCAGACCTTGTTAGCAGAAGCTTATGCACACAGTGGTTTACCTCAGCAATTTCCCCCTTCAGCTGGAGGTCAAAAGTGTTGTTTTCACTGCAGGTCCAGCGCCTGATGCTTGTTGATTGTTTTAAACCCATTTCCAAAAATGCTGAGTTCTGTTGTTATAAATCATTGACGACTTCGCAAAGTTCACCAAATTTACTACTGGGCCAAAAATAAAACTAACCACATGGATCACACTATGCATAATGATGTTTATTTGAACTTTTATGAAAAAGTGCATTAAAGATTTTTAGTGTAAAAAGATATTTGTGTGCTCCCAATGGAAATGACTGTTAAGTAAATATGCTGTAATGTTTAACCCTTTGAACATAAATTTAGATGTGCGTCTCAAAAAATTTGATCATTGGGAAGCTTATTTCAGTAATTAAATTCAGAAATTATCTCTATCTATCTGGATTTATATATATATATATATATATATATATATATATGAAAGTCATGACATTGACAATAATGACTTATGGGCCAGATCAATGAAAGAATTTTGAAATACAAATACATCATTGCCTCCACAACCTTCAGGAAACAGCTGTTATGACCGTTTTAGGGAGGGTGAGTCACAAAAACATAATTCCTTAGTAAGCTGGCTGGCTGTCAACAGGGTGCTGCAGCATATTCACAGAAAGCTCAGTGGAAGGAAAACATGGGGTAGGAAAAGCTGCACCAGCGACAGGGATTAGCACAGTCATACTTGTAAAGACAAGCACATAAAAACACTTGTTAACCAGAGAAATGTTAGATTCTTTCATAAACTAAAGAGAAAAAGGTCTGGACTTCTGTTCAGAGATTCAATGTCCTATTTACAAATTGAAAGTAAATTTTGCATTTCAATGGGAAAGTAAGATCCCAGTTTGGACAAAGCATGGAAAGTTGTTTGAGTTCCAGTGTTAAGTTTCTACAGTCAGGTATTATTTAGGGAGTAATGTCATCTCCTGGAGTTGACCCATTGTGTTTCATTAGGTCCAAAGTCAGGGTAGACACCAATCAGGGAGATGAAGAGCGCCTGATGCTTCTTTCTCATGATGGCCATGATGGAGGTGCTGATTTCATCTTCCAGCAGAAGTTAGGACCTGCTCACACTCCCAAAAGTACCAAAATTTGTTTTAATGGACATGGTCATTAAAACACCATGGCTGTGCAGGATGGGCCAACAAACTTCCCTGACCAGAACCTCATGGAGAATCTATGGTGCTTTGTCAAGAGAAACCGCAAGAAACACCAAACCCGACACTGCAGATGAACTGAAAGTTATTTAAGAAATCCGATCGTCTCTGTGCCACTTTACATTGATGCAGTAGTTCATGAAAACCCAGACAAACAAAAAAAAACTGTAAATACTGAAGTATATAGACATACTTTTCATGAACTATAAGTCATAATCCTCAGAATTAGTGGAAAAAAATGCTTGGGATATATGACTGTGTAATAAATTAACACATAAGATTCTCTTGATAAAAGGAATGAATGAAATGCATAGATTTCTCAATATCATTATAACCTTTTGAGATTTAGTCGTTTAAAAACAGAAACATGACAGACCAACACCTGATTTTGTAATTAAAAAAATTGTTTTAATAAATTAAATGTGAAATACATCCTGCCAAACCAGCAAAGGAAAAAAACAGGATCTCCTATTTAACTCAATGCTGTTGTGTACATGTGTAGTCACTGAAACAAGTCCTTCAAATGTTACAACATGATATCAATCCTTCCTTAGATTAGTTTGGGTGGCTACTGATTGCCTACTCACAAAGCCCAAACCTCCTGCTTCATGCAAAACAAAGCAAGACAAGTCCAACTTGGCAAGTGTCAAAAACAAAATAAAATAAAATAAAATGTGCACAGACAGGTTTCCCATTTTAGATAAGACCATAATAAGTACTGATTTTACTCTAAACTCATTGAGTTTAATGAATCATACAAGAAAACAACCTGCAGCAAAAAAAAAAAAAATTAGAACTCTTAATTCTTTGTCTGCACGCATTCACACTGACATGCACACAAGCCAATAACTCCATGAAATGAGAGAATTCAGCTTTTCCTCTCCATCCCAACTGGCAGTCCATCCCGTGTCTCACTGCACACAAGCCACAAACAGGCCACATGCAGAGGCTTGGCACAAAATGCATCAGCTGCTCCACACAGAGGCTTCAGATAATTTAGGAGATCACGTTATTGAGAGATGTTTCCGGCTTCCATTTGCAGGGCGAAAGAAAGAGAAGAAAACCGGGTCGGAGCTGACTCAGCGGCTCATTCGAGTTCCTCAAGGACTGTCAGGCTTCACACAGGATAACGGGGAAATCTACATGGATGCACGGGAAGTCCAGCTTTACAATTCCCTGAAAGGACACAGAGGGAATTTAAGTTATTTGCAACAACAACTGAACTGGTGTCCACTAAATATGCACAAATCAATCGGCCAATTTTCTCTTGATAATCAAGGCAAGGCAGGAAGGCAAAAAAAAGTATTTTCCTCCTCCACTATTCACTAAATTTACAGACCCTAGAATTAAAAATAAGAATCAAATTAGACTTCAAAGAAAAGAAGACTATTCTTCATTGGTCAGGGAAAGTCTGAATGTTGAATTTAAAGTGCATACAAGTGAATTCTCATTTGATTATAATACATTCTCTCACCTGAGGTGTTAAGTTTTTCTGAACCTTTTTCAGTTTGGCTCTTTTACGTCCATTTTTTGTCACAATTGTCTCCTCGTAGAACTCGTGAGCCAAGTCACCGTCCTCATCGAAGTACATAGAGCTGCAGCAAAAAAAGCCAAAAAAACATGGCAATATATACACACATATATTGGCCTGGTAGTCGATCTCATGAGATTAACATAGTTTTCTGTTTTCTCCATCTCAAACACATGACTGCAATGAAAACATAATCAGTTTCTCAGAGCAAGAAAAGGAAATTTCAGCTTAACTTATTTATACCGGATCATTAAAAAAAATCAACTTACTGACCTCTTTAATCAAGGAATATTGACTCTCAATATTTGCACATACTCTAATTTGATTATAAAATTTATGTTTATGACTCTATTATGAATCCTCACATTTATGGACACTAAGCATATATTTACCTTCGTCTGGTAAACACGAAGGGAGTCGCTCCAGGGAAACTTCGTACTCTTGCCAGTGTCTGCTCGTTTCCATCTTTGGATGCATCATCCCCGCTGCCTGAGCCAGAGAAAGGCCAGAATCCTTTGGACTTGGAGCCACTACCCCCCATCTTCAGCTGCAGCACATTATTTTCCCTGAGTCACAGGGCAACCAGTGGTGAGTCACTGTTCTGAAATTGGGTCTTCAGCGTGGAAAAGCTAAAGAAAAAGGGGGATTGAAATGTTTCATTTGAAGCAGAAAGCACACCAAGGACACAATTATTCTGTAAAAACAGAACCATTAAAGACTAAAGGATTAGATAAAGATTAGTGAAAGTGACTAGTTTGGTCATAAAAACACAATAAGGCAAGCCACTGAATGTCCATTCAAAACCATATGGACACTAACTCAAGTTACAGAAGCAAAACACATGCTGCTTCTATCAAGAGTGCAAATGCAGCAAATCTCAAAAGTCCACAGAGACACTACTGTCAACATTTAACTGGAAATTAAGAAAAAGGAACAGAAATTTAAATGATGTATTTTGGAGAGTTTGCATACCAGTTAGAGGCCTAAAAACACGAACACTTCTCAAACCCAAATTTCCAACACAAAATAACTGCACATTAATACTACAAGTTTCAGAAAACCAGCAGAGGAAAAATAAATTACAACAGCAAAAGTAATAAATTCAACTATATTGTGAATATTTAGGGTCTGAAACATAAATTAGAGACACATTTCTTTTCAACATTCCTGTGTCTGATAATTATAAAAAGGAAAATTGCCCATCCTAACATTTTAGTTCCTGCTACTTCTTTCCTTTCCCAAAAAACATTTTTTGATTTTCTGTTTTACACACTACTTGGTAAGACATTTGTACCAATTTATTTCTTTTTGCATAATTTTAAAATTTGGAAGCAAACATATGTTGGCAGATTATCTCACTTTGTATTTCCACAGTTCCCTCCCTCCTTTTTCTTCCTGATATTTTGTATGTTACTGTTAATAAGTTCACAAATAATAATAATAATAAAAATCTTATTTTCAAAGGTATTCTACAAAAGCTAACATTAGTTCTTGCAATGACAATAATAACGATTAATATTCTGATTACAATATTCAGTGTGACATCTGGCTATTTTCTTTCCTCTCTTTCTCATCTCATATGAAATGTCAATGTTGTTTGCAGCAACATTGACAGATGAACACCTGCTGTTGTGAGACTCTATCCAACTGGTTAACTAATATATCAATATGTGAAACGTAAGTTCATAATACTTGGAATACAGTAATCAACAATTATTGCTCTTCAAATAGTCCTTTGCGACATGAGTATTGCAGACAGCAATATTGCAATGTCAATATATACGTTATATATTGTGCAACATTTTTAGATAATATATTTTAGTGTTTTGTTTTTTAGGTATCATACTTCAAATTTACATCTTTTTAAAATAAAACATACAAGAAAAGAAAAAAAATAACATGTTAGGCATATATTTCTATATGTTTCTCTTTGCATCCAGTCAATATATCATAATTTATAGTAAGAACAAGCAAAATATAATCCAGAGAGCACATAGTAATAAAACTCTAATTTATTTTCCTCGTGGATACGACAAAAACCACAAGAGGAAGTCATTAGTGCTGCTGTAAATATGCCAAGAAATCCCACCCGGCCCAAGAAGCGTGACAATGCAACCTATGAAAACCACATTATGTTGAGAAAGCAAAGCACTGACAACTGTCTGTGCTTTGCTAAGCAAAGATGTGGTTGCAAAATGCAAGTTACGTGCTTCGAAGAAAGATGAACAACATAAATAAAAGTCTTTAACACTGGCAAAGAAGTAGCTCACTTATTCAGCTGCTTTATAAAAACAGTTGAGAGACTGGCCCTGTTGTAAGTAAGCCGGATTTGATGTCATTTTATGACCTGAGAGCTCCCATCGCTGTTATCTAAAGAGCACCAGCGCTCTCTTTCTAGCATTTACTAGGTCAACACGCTTCTAAACAACATAATGTTCACCCACGTTGACGAAAGCTAACGTTAGCTGATTTCTTAGCTAGTACTGGTGGTTTCAGGGTAGCTGCAAACCTACCTAAACGGAAGAGCGTTGTGTTCACAGAGGCAAATATTCCTCTGGTGACGTTTTCCGGATGAGTTGTCAATATCGCCAACGACCAAAGAACATCAACAGCTAGCACATTAGCTGTGTGTGCTAACGGTGCTGCTTCTTCAGCTGCCCTTTCCCGTGTTGTTCTGTGCGTTACCGCCACCGCGTGGACGGGAGGGATAAACGGAGACTGTCTTCTTTTTACCAGCTCCATCCTGATGTACTCTTCTTATAACAAAGATAATTGCCTCACGAAATTATAGGTTCTATATTGGTCATATTCTCTACATGAGTGCTGGGATCAATACATTCAGAGAAATCTAATTATCAATGACAAAAAACTTATATGAATGTTTTTTTTTTCATTATAGATGTGGAAGGATTTGTTGGCAATTCCCATGTTAATGAAAGCAGGACAATAAGTTCCTCTTTCAATTCAGTGCCACAATCTTCTTCTTTAGCTTTGTGAGGAAGATAGTCTCAAGTTTTTCCTTCTATGTTTCTGGGCATGTTTATTTTATTTCCATGTGATGAGTTAAAGTAATAACTTATATAAACACTAATCATTATCCTTACGAACTGTTAGACTGTTTGTTTCTAGAATGCGTGTCTCATAGTAATGTCTGCAGGAGGAGATAAGCGTGCCAAATTGGAAGCAGATGGGAAGAGACTGGACAAAAATGGAATCCATGAGAAAAACCGCTACTGACCAAAAATAACACAAAGACTTGTCTTACATTGGTGAAAAAAACCATTGTGACATTACTTGTGAAATATTTCTGTAGACTGATGAAACACAAGTGGAACATTTTGGAGTGTGTGCTTCCTGATACATCAGACGCCGGTAGCTGTCGTGGCACATCCATGTATCAGGTTTACAGGCGAAATACTCTTCCTCTAAACGTCAGGTTGATTTGGATAGATTTTCCCTTAATTACAGTCTGCGAACTCAGTTACAATCTGCATTTATTACTCAAGTTATGCTTACTAAAGGTTCATTAATGATGTAAAACACTGTTGTAATTAAAAAAACAACAACAAAAAAACCCAGAAGAAATGTGAGAGGGAAAACTTTGCAGCAAAGCATACACTTGGAAAGGATCATGAACTTAACATCACATGACCTGTAATTTATTGTGATCAGTTTATTAGATAATTTGCATCCAAATACACATACTCAACTCCAAATCACAGCTTTATTAAAGTGCCATTATGTGATAAAAGACAGCATGGTCTGGTGCTTTCAGTAGCTCACATTAAATGTAAACACATGTATTCCTGCTTCATTAACAAACTATTATCTGAAAACTTGTCATTGCCTGAGCTTTCCCCTTCCCTTTTGCATCACCTGTAAAGTTTCCCATTACCATGGCATGAAAAGGTCATTCCTAATATTGAACTCCAAGGTTGACTCTTGGTCAACCAGGAGTAGTTACGCGGGCCATTGCGTGCCTTATCATGTCTCTGGCATGAGCGTAGCGCTTCACAATCTGCCGCACATGCTCTTCTTCCTCGCGCTGTAAGATTCGCAAAAAGTTGTTCAGCTCAGGACAGCTGAAGGCATCCCACTGCAAAGGAAAGACATTTTGTTTTAAGAGCACACAAAACACCCACAAAATAAAGAGTTGACTGATCCTAATGTCTGATCAGAAAACTCACGTTTACGTCCCCTGTTTCGTTCTCCTTCAAAACCAGACTCAGGACTGATTCACTGGGTCCAGCACACAAGCGCAAGTACAGAGGGCGCTCGTCATCAGACAGTTTACGCATGAACACTGCAAGAAAGCACAAAAAATGTAATCAATGGTTTTCTTCTCTGTTTTAATAAAATCCTGGTGTGAGGAATCCAACCTTGACTTTGCTTCTCAACACGCTCAAACAAGGCAAACTTCGCCGGATTGTCGACCACAGTGAACTTGTTGAGCAACGCCTCGATGACTTCTCGCACTCGGGTTTCTGAGCTCACATGAAGGTGCTTTGCTGCGTCCCTGGGGAGGTAGAAAGATGTCCGCCGTCTTGTCAGTATTTCCTGCTGATCGTCCTCCTCTGTCCAGCTCTGGTTCCGAGAAGGTGGGAGGGTGATGGGGCGGAGTAACTGAAAGTGAACCTTTATGAAACCGGTGTACGTCCCGTCTTTATTCTGTTAGAAATACAGATTCACTAGAGTTAGAGGGTGTCATTTCTGGAGACAAATCTGTAAGTTCAGAAAATATAACGTAAAAACTATTCAGAAGTTCACATAAACGATCCTCGGCATAATAATAACATAACTGCATAAACACGGCCAAGTTAAAGAACTTCTACCAACTTTGCAAAAGATTTAGTCAAAAATCCAGCCACAAGTATTCCAGAAGCTTGTTAATGGTATCAAAAACATTCCGATGCTATAATTAAAAGCCCATAATTACACATTATTCATTTTTCTAAGAGGACCAGGACAAACCACAACCAAGTTTGCTGTGACTCACATCCACCATGTAGAGATTGTTGTTAATCTGAGCGTTGTACTCCTTCACCTTCTGCTGAATCTTACCAACACTTAACTCTTGTTTACCCTGTTCAGTCTGGTCATCCTGAAAAGGACGAAAATGTTGGAACCAGTTACGCCCAAGGAAATCGGTTGAGAAGAATCAAGAATGGAGGGATGCAACAGAGATCAACATAAAATGGGAAAGACAGATAACAATTTCGAAGGCTCAAGGTTGCACATCTGTGAAAGAAAGATCTAAGCCTGTAAATAATAGTTTGGTCCCTGCAAGTAAAATGAAGTGCTTGATTTATTTCTTCCTGTGACATATTTGGACAAGTATGTTTTTTAATATCATCACCGCTAATTTGCAAGGATTTTCGCTAGATGCTCACCCTGATCCTTCGTCAGATTTGCTTCAATCAGCCAGTGAGCCAAAGTTTCACTTTGAGGTTATTTTTTAATCTGCACAAAAAGCTTTTGAGGATTCATTTTTTTAATTCATTGCCTTTTTAATGAAGCGTTTATCAAGAATTAAATCTAATAAATCAGGACATCAAAATTTAATCCTGAATATATTTTTAAATTGAAAGTCACCAACTCATACACCCTTTGCATACCTTATTCGCCCCAGTAGTAATGAATTTATTAACTATGATCTCAAATCTAAATATTAGATTTCTTTTAAGATTTGGCTTCTGTGGCCTTCACTGCCAGTAATCACACAGGCGAGTATCAAATCTCATTTATAGTTTATTGAATTAGGATATTGTTTTCTGAACATTTTGTATTTTTATTTTAAACCTGATGTATCATAGAGTTTTCTTACAATTTCCAATAAAAGAGAAAAAACAGCAACAAGAAAGACTTCTTTCATATGGAAGTGTATGTTTCTGTTTTTTTTTAATTGGCTTTAAACTGAACTTTAATTCCCTGTTTTACTCGATCCAGAGTATCCTCGGCTTCTCAAAAAGGCCCCATTCTAATCCCAGCAGGGGAATAAAAGGCTAATCACAACCGTAGAAAGTGACCTAATTTGTTTAAAATACACGTCTTAAGTGTCTGGATGGATTTCAACAAACCAAATGCTGGGTTTGTTTCTCAAAACTAAAGAGCTGAAGTTGAGTTTGCATAAATAGTCACAGACAACACTAAAGCAGGTAATTACAAAGTAAAATAAATACAGTATATTTACAAGTTTAACACCACTTTATGACAATACATCTTTTTATTAATGACAAATAAACAGTAAATAAACTGGTCAATTATTATAAAAACACAAATAACACTAATATATCAAACATTAATGAAAGGAGGTGAGCAGCAGGCAGACATGCTGGTGTCCATCTGCTTTGCCATATTAACATTCCACATGGTCATTCAAGCATAATCATTTTTCTTTTTTTTCTTTTTCTCAGTTACATTGCTCAAAAGTAAATGAAAAATACAGCTCATTAAGAAATTAAAACAATAACAATACTGACACTGTGAGAGCAGTGAACGGTGATTATTGATGAATAGAAATTAAACATTTCCAATTCATATTACAAAGAAAAAATAGAAAACTCTGTTTAAGGTTCTTTCCACTTCACCGTGATGCACCACCATTTGTTAATTTATCATCTAACATCAAAACGGAAAAGTTTTTAGCTGGCAAAACGTGAACATTTGATGGGTGAATGTTATTTTGCAACATGCATTATTATGTTTTGTTTTACGAGTTGTGTCGCTTTTTACCACATTTGTGTCCGTCTCGATGGAGTCCTCACTGTAGTCTGTGTTCTCCGTTAACACGCTCCCCTGTGTGCTGCAGTCCAGCTGGATAAACGGTCGGCAGCGGTAGTGACAAGTGTAGCGGCAGTCTGAAGGAGAGAAACAGATATCAAAAGAAGTTGTGGTTTTGGTTCCTCTGTTTTGCTTTGACTTTGGGTTTTGCCGATCTGCGTATCTGTTCCTGGAGTGTCCCATTAAGCTGTCCCCTCTGTGAGTCAGACTGAATGTGACTGACGGTACAACAGAAACGCCAGAAGTAAAAGAAAACAGCGAAGCAAAGACAATCCTGGGTCCTATATGTACAAAAACACTGAGCTGAAAGATGAAACAGGCCAGAACCTCCAACTGATAGGCTAAACAGTTTGGAGAGGAAATCTAACATCCTGAGGCACCAATAAAACAGAAACACCTTAAAATGACAATAAACATCCATTTCCATTGTGACTTTGGCAGTAATTCTTCTTCAAAACTGTTTGAAATAGAACAGAACCAGCAAAAAGCTAAGGTTAGTCTTCACAAATAGACAGACACTACAGTATTCAGCAACCATTACTTACAAACATCAATTATACATTTGTTTGGATCTGTTCCAGCAGAATAACTGAAAAGCTTTGAAACAACATAGGAACAGGATGTAAAGCATCAGGCTTTCAATTTGCTCAAAGCCTGTAAATCTGACACTTTTTGCTGGTCAGATTAAAATAGACTAAGGTTTAAAATAGATCAGAATTAGAAGTACTCACTGGCACACCGTAAGCTCTGCTTATAGAGACCCCAGATGAATTCTCCACACAGGTCACACCAGCTGAGGTGTGTGTAGCTATAGGGCTGGAAGTCATGGCCCACTGCGCCCTCTCTCAAGTGACGGACCGGTCCCTCAATGCTGACGCTGTCTCCAACCAGACGGACAACGCGGCCAGCGCCAGGCTGGCACAGATTGACCGAGGCACAGGCGATGTGTGAGGATGGAGCAGCTAGCTCGATGGAATCGTTCACACTGAGGTCCTTCAGCTCAATCAGCTCACAGTTAGTCATCCTGTCCTCGATGCAGAAACGGAAATATTGTCCATGAGGGCGGGCAGGTGTGTGTGGAGCCAAATGAGGAAGCAGCCGAGTTGGATTTACACCTTTCCATCACATTGAAGCATCACTGTGGATTCAGTCCCCTTCCAGAGTAGCATCACAGGTGGACAAACCTTTAAAAAAAAAAAAAAAAAAACTTTAATGGATTTTGACTTTTCTTTAATATACAGTGTCAAAAAATTACATACAGCATCACATATTTATTGATCTATGGCACCCTCACAAATATTCGGTCAAATTAACTTGTTAGGCTGTATCGCAATCACAACTTTTGGGTAGCACTTTATTTGACGGGTTGTGAATAAGACTGTCATGACACATGTTGAACATGACATGAACATGGCCAGATGGGTGAATAAATATGACATGAAGGCTTCATGACTGTGAAGACTTATGACAGGTGTTATGTCATGTTTATGACGGCGTCATGACAATCTTATTCACGACCCGTCAAACAAAGTGTTACCCAACTTTTGCTACTATAAAGCTTTGCCTTGTCTGCAGTCAAATTCTACATCTGTTATAAACTGTCTTTGTGTCTTTATTTGATTTAAAAGTCCAAAATAGTTGATTTTCATGTCTATAACAATTAAACATAAAATAGACTGTCACTGCACCTACAGTTAACATAAAAAACAAACGTAAATCTGTTTCTGACTCTATCTTTGAAAACAGAAAAACAAAGGATTGACATTTGTCATCTGATGCCAGGAATCACGCGGTTACAAAAATGTGGGACAAGATCATGACTATACTGTAATCCAGATCTATCCCTCAGATAGTATTTGCACTGTCCTTTACCAAATGTAGCAAACAGGAGCAACATAACAGGAGCAACATCAACTGTTCAAGTGGAAAACTGAACAGAAAATGTTGTGGAAGTTCACCCACCTGGAGGAAATCCATAACACACACCCAGAATTACAATAAAATGCTTTAAATTAAACATAATGATGTATTGAAACAGCCGGCAATAAACTGAGGTGTATTTGAAAGTTTAAATTCACAGATGTTGAAAAAGCCAGTTTGAGTTTGAGCTATTTTGCCAAAATGAATGTGCAAAATTTTAATCTCTAAACTTGCAAAGCAGAGGCATAACCCAAAGGAAGGTAAGCACCTTTAGATTTTTACTTTAAAAAAACACATTTTTGAGATCAAGAATTATTTTATTTCTGCTTAACAACAACTCTATATAAGCTTGTCTCTCAAATAAATACCCAATGAAATGCAGTAAACCATGAGGTTACAAAAAGTAAAAAATAGTTCAAGGGGTGCTAATACTTTTGCAAGGCTGACTTTATCATTTATGAGACAGCATGCAATGTATTAAGTTATAACAACATAAATTATTTAAAAAAAAAACCCAGAATGACAAAGCAAATTCAGAAGGTTTTGAAAACCAGATTTTTTTGTTTCTATCTGCAGCAGGTATAGGAAGGATTTAAGAGTCTGGGTGAGGAGGGATGTGGTTTGATGAGTAAAAAGCCAAAAGTATTTCTTAATCAATGCAGCAAATTCAACTCAGTTTCCCAAGGAAGCATGAATGTATTATTTAATCATTTTTTTCCACAGCATAGTTTCATCAAAATGGAGAATACAGCAGCATCTAAAACTGCTGTGAACGTATTTTCTCTTTGGAGCAAACTTATTGTGACTAGAATAAGAACAACCCGGGGCCGTGTTTGCCAAGTGGGTCACCACACGGTGCAATTATCCACGCAGGGCAACAACAACAACTCATTGTAAGCGACATCATTTAAGCCTATATGGTGTCATACTTGTTTATTGCCTACTTAGCTCAGACTTGTGCCTGCAATATTTTTCACGTGATAAATTATTCACTCACTGAACATTCAGTGGTTAAAAGCAGCCGGGACAACGCGGTCTAATCCCGCAGGGAACGGGACAGAAACAAACAAACAAACAAACAAACAAACCCTCCACGGACAGATACCCGGACTTATCCGGTCACAGAAACCCCCTTACCTCGGTCACTCCATCCACGCAGCTGTTCGACGGCGATGCCTGCATAACAGACGCACTTACTTTTTTTTTTTTTTTTTTTTTGTCCTGGAGTTACCAGCGAAGCGTCCCCCCACCTCATCTCCCTGCGCGAGCGCACTTTGGGTTTGCGCATGCACAGTGGGAGTCTGGGATTATCCCTTAAGCCAAAATGTGACCTGCGCTGAAGTGGACGGAGAAGAGAGGAGGCGCTGCTGGTGTCTCTGCTGCACGCATCACGTCCACACAGAGACAAGATCTGAACAGAGGAGACAAGCGGTGTGAAGCTTCTGATGTTTGATGTCACTTTATTAAAAAATATAAAATAAATTCAATCAAAACCATTCCCTGTGGTTTGATAATTCGGGACTTCAATGATGAATAAATCAATGAACTTGATTAAATTGTAGATTATGTTTTCTTTCTTGGTTAGACCTGTGAGTAGACGCTTCTTTAAAATTAATTTGATTAATTTTTCATTCACTTATTTATTCTGCCCTTTGACATCTACAACTATATTATAAATAAAGTTTGTTATTTTTATTATTAATTCAGGGTTCACATGATTTAGTTTAAAAGGAGAAAAAAAATTGCTATGTTTACGAATCGAATTTAAGGTCATGTAGTATTTACAGAATATAAAAAGCTCATTTTGCATGTAAGTAAAACAGGAGGAGACATTTTTGTTTCCACTTTTATTTAGAGCAGGCTGTTAAATCTTTGATTTAGGAGATGTGGAAATCATTCAATGAGGAAAAAGCCCTCAGGCCAAAATATGGCTCATGAATATTGACATGGTCTTCCTATTTTCTACATCCAAGTCAGACTTTCATCACCGTCTATACTTATTTGCACCGCCAACCCTTAGACCAAATTAATGTTTTAACACAGCAGCAGCAAGTATTTATTGTGTGGGAGTGAGCTTTTCTAAGCCCATCAACAAAACAAGATCACCTATCACTTAAAGATACTGTTTTGATTCATTCATATTTGTTTGCTTTGCCTGTGACAGAATTTAGATTCAGAATTAAACTCCTGCTTTGGACAAGACTGCAAGACAAAAGTTAAGAGGATATATTTTATTAGATCAGTTATAATTTTAGAAAAAAAAGTATAATTTTTCATCAATTCAAGTTGGTCTGGAACATGGAAAACTAATAAAATTTCCTTCTTAGCATTATAGACAAACTACCTGATTTATATTAATTCCCAGAAAGTCAGTTGGAAGGTTTGGGAGCCCTTTATTTACTATTTTTATTCCTGCAGAAAATGATTGTGTTTATTCACCAGGTTTTATTACTGAGTTTGTACACTGGAGCTCAGTGTACAATGTGCTCATGTGTCTTCAGCTCATGTTAACGAGAGAAACATAAAAATACTAGCTTTAAATTATTTAATAATTTTATTTCTTAACAAAATGTACAATTCCAAACCCCATAAATTGCTTCTAAATATGACAGAAGTGTATTTGTTGAAAAAAAAAAAAAAAAAAAAAATATATATATATATATATATATATATATATATATATATATATATATATATATATATATATATATATATGTATGTATATATATATATATATATATATATATATATATATAAAATGCACATTAAAAATGCATTTTAATGTGCATTTTATTCACATTAAAATGCAAAAAAACAGAGAATGGTATGGAGATGAATGAATGAGCATTTTGATGACTGCAGAGCAGTGTGTGTGTGTGTGTGTGTGTGTGTGTGTGTGTGTGTGTGTGTGTGTGTGTGTGTGTGTGTGTGTGTGTGTGTGTGTGTGTGTGTGGAGGCCCTGCGGAGTCACAAGCTTTTTAGAGAGTAATTGGAGCACAATAACCAGTGCGCAGCTGAACTCTGTGTCTGGTGGATTTGATGATCCAAATATCAGAATTTCTAACTGTTTCTTGATGGTATTCTTAGCTTGCACACACTTTGCTTAAATGGATTTAAATGAATATAAAGCCACTCGGCAGAAACAACCCAAGCTTGCTTTCGATGTGACTCATTTTGTTGATAGGACCACAAACTGGCTATAATCTAGATCAGGAATCCTCAAGTTGAGGCCTCGAGGGTCGATGTCCAGCAGGTTCTGGACATGATTCCAGACAAATTGCTGAATTACCTCCCCAGTGCTTTCAGGTTCTCCACAGTGCTGCTAAGGACCTGATTATTTGACTCAGGTGTGGTGGAGCAAAGCCACATCTAAAACCTGGTTTGCTCTAGGCCTAAGGAGCTTTAGCCATTCAGAGTCACTGTGAACTGTTAATATGAAGAACATATTTGACCAGAGTCACCAGCAGCACAGTTACAAATGGGTTTGAATAAACGAAAAAAAATGGATTCATTTGTGTCAAAAAGAAAAAAAAGTATATTTCTTTTGTTTAAAAAAAAAGTAGACGAATAATTCCTTACAAAAATAATGAAGGAATAATTGTAAAGGAAGCGCAGCCGCAAATGACTTTTATTTTGAAAAGACTGAACGGAAACTGCGTTTTCCCATTTCTGCAACGGGACATGACGGCGACGTGGACCGGATACCGGAGGTTTTGTCAAGTTAAAGTTACATGACTGCGATTTAATAACGATGATGATCTTCCTGAGCTGAGCTGCAGTCAGTCCGGGAAGGACTTTGAACATCGTCACTTCCGCTTTCATTGAGTCGGAGACGGTCGGACGTGATCATTTATAACATGATCCACAACAAGGAGGCAGAATCTGAAAGTCGGTTTTACGGTTTTGTTAGAACAGCCTCCGTAGGACTGACTCACATCATCTCCATAGCCTTCCCTGTTTTTATTGCGTTTCTTTCCCTACCCGGAACAAGTGAGTGTGGTTAATGTTTACGTCTTTCTTCTTTTTCTTTTTTTTTTTTTTTTACGTCAGTTTGCATATAATTTTGTTGATCTTTAACCCCACCTGTTTTCCTTCAGGTGTGTTTTCATGGCATCCTTTCCTGATGACAGTAGCTGTAAGTCGAACCTCATTTATAAACTCAAAAATACAAGCTTTGCTTTGTTTATTGGGACATGGCTGGTTGTGATTGTGAAGTAGAAACAAAGCTGGAGGGCATTTTTCTACTGTAATTTAATTGTAAACTCACTCAAAGGAAAATGACAACAGTGGATTTTATTTGGAAGTTTCAGAGTAAGGGGGGGGGATCAGTTACTTTTTGATGCACGTTTATCAAACATTAATTGTGAGGTATTACAAACAAAAACCGAAATGAATACACAAAAGTTGAAGTTCTGACATTACAGTATGTAAGAAAGGTTAATGTAAGGCACAAAATAGATCAGAGGTCAGCGACCTTTTCCACTCAAAGTTCCACTCAAAATAGATCAGAGGTCAGCGACCTTTTCCACTCAAAGTTTAGCTGCTAATAAATAAAACTCTTCTAGAGAGGCAAAAGATGATTTTGCATAAAATGCATCATCATGAAAGGTAGCAAAATCAAACTAAAATATACTTCTATTTTCAGATTTTAGAACAAAATAAAAAGTTATAGAATGAGGTGAGCCTTTTCTATAAATATAAAAAAATGAAGACTTGTAGGTATTATATTCAGATTCTGCATAGAAACTTACAGAAAAACAGTTTCTTTAAGTTCTTGGATAAACTTGCTCTGCACAAAAGTTTCAAGTTTTTATTGTTAATTAGATTTTAATTGATTTGTATACCACCTCTTTTATAACTTACAATGAGTCAATAATGATTTTTCTACTTTTTGTTTTAGTTTGGCTTCTTTATGACGGAAGCCATCCTGCTCTTTTCGCCCCGCGGCTCCCTCATCAAGAGGTTTCCACACAAGACCAAAGGCCGTGTTCACTGGATCCTGCAGAGCCTCTGTGGCTCCTGTGCACTTCTGGGCCTGGCTGCCATCTACTACAACAAAAACCTGAACGGTAAAGCCCACTTCACCTCGTGGCACGGCCTGCTGGGACTGATCACGGTGTGTGTCGTGTGCGTGCAGTCCTTGGCAGCCGTGCCTCTCATTTACCACTCTCTGGCCAAAGGCTGGTCCCTCGCCAAGCTGAAGCGCTACCACGCCGCGTCGGGGCTCGTCACCTTCCTGCTGGGCTGCACCAGCCTGCTGCTCGGGCTCTGCTCCTCCTGGTTCACGGCGTCAGTAAGGGGGTACGCCTGGTACCTGGCAGCAATCTGCCCCGCTCTCAGCGCTCTGATCATTATGAATCAGGTCTCCACTGCTTACGTTGCTAAAAAGCGGCTGCAGTCCTGACGGAGGCGCATTGAATGAACAGAGCTAAGCTCACTGTGCTCCTTTAAAGACTGAAATATTACTTCTCAGGCCACAAACCTTTCTGCCTTTTTTGATCTTTCCATGCTCGAATGAATAAAAAGTCAAAATATGCAGAAGAGGACCTAGAGTCCTTTTCATAATTGCATACTAGTACATGCTCTTTTAAAGCAACACGGAATTTTTTATCATTCCATAATAAAAAATGGAATGATATAGAACAAATAGAATTATTTGTTCTATTTGAACAAATAATTCAAATAGAAAATGGAAAAACAGAAACATGTACATCATTTTTGAGTATAAAAATACAAATAAATGGAAAAAATAAAAACATTTGTAATAACTGCAAGTATTTATGTAACTGATTATTGCTGAATTTACTTGGGAATTGGTGAGTTATTTAAAGCTAATCTGCTCTCATCCAGCTATATTTTACTTTTTGTTTTATTTTCTTGCACATTCTAACACTTGTACATGCATATATGCACCAAATACACCATTGGTCAACTTTTAATTTAAATAAAATTGATTTATTTTTAAATCAATTTATTTAAAAATAAATTGATTTATTTGTCCCTTTTAGCTGAGACCTTTTATATCAAATCATGTTACTTGCGACAATAAAATTTACTTAAAGGCTTGTAATTCTTTTATATTTATTTTAAATAATCAACAAAAATAAAGTCTATTTAATAATTGAATTTAGAAAACATATTTTGCTCTCTGAAAGGTCTCAGGTTCAAAAAAGTTTTTATCTGGTGTCTTTTCCCTCAAGGGACTTGCAATATAGTTGGACAGTCATTTCCATTTTGAACATAATATGCCAAACCTATATTCATAAATAGATTTTCTTTTACCCAGTTTTATCCTAAATAAATTGTCTGCTTTCCTAGTACAGATTCTGCTTTTTAGCATTATCTTGCTTTTCAATTACATTTAGCTCCTGGTGTGTTAAGTGTCATATTTGAGAGAGTTATTTTTTCCCTCTACATTTTGAATATATTTTCACATTTTAATTTTTGTGTATTTCCTTCCCAAAAAAGTGAAGATAACTACACCGAAATGACAAATTGGTGGCAGGTTGCTATTCCAGGATGTATAGCAACTGTTTAAGAATAAAAGAATAAAACTGTTTAGAAATAATTCAGACTGTATTAGAAGATTATTTTATTTTTGAAATAACATTGATATCACATAATTTTTATTTGATTTAGGCTGCATGTATGAAATTTTTACTAGATCAGCCATTAATGGGTCAAAGTGAACAAAAAGTAACAAAACAAATGCAGTTACAAAACCATATTTTACATTATAAATAAGAACATCGCAGACATCAAAATGAAGGACTCGATCGTCAAGTGGATTAATCAGAATTAGACGTCATGAAAAAAAAAAATTCTGTAATAAAATATTCTATGAACTATAAAAAGAAAAGAGAGGGGTCAGTATCATGTACCTCGCACAGTTAATATGAAGAAATGTTCCTTATGCAAAGTGCTAGCTCCACTTTTTAAATCAGAAATCACAGGTTCTCGTGACACGCAGAAAAAAAAAATCCACATAATCTTTCTGACAGACTTGGAAAAAAAGCAGCCGGGAGGAAACAGAGGAGCCAGCAGCCGACAGAAAGCAAACAGTACTGGAACTGCAGGGACGCGGGATCCCACACTTGAAAACTGAAATATGCAACTCCAATGGGGGAATGATCTGTTGTCTCAACTTATCCAGTGTTTCCTGAAGGCCAATCATCACTGCGTCTAGCTCAGTTTACCAGCAGAGGAAAGTGACATTTCCTACATCTAAACACCTCGAAGGCAACACAGAAACACATACAGAAAACGGGACCTGAACAGCCACAAAGCAACCGACACTTAGTGTCACTCCTGGCAGAAGCTACGCACACTGCATCTAACGGCGATCATCACATAACGGCACTGTCAGTTTGTAAGGCCGCCGCATCAACTCACCTGGCTCGGCCACTCTCACCGGCAGTTTTACTGATATAAAAAAAGTCATCAGGGTCAAATGAAGGTGGCGACACTGAACTCGTTCACTCGAGCTGTGCAGATTCAATGCTTCCTCTAAGATAAGGTAATATTTGTTCTAACAGACCTACCTGTAAATAAAAGCCTCGGTTTGCACAAATCAAAACTGGTTTTAGAATAAATAAACAAGGCTAACATTAAACATTTGGGATGCTAACAAAATAATTTAATTAACTTTTACAACTATTAATAGGAAGTGTGGTCAAATATCCAGACAAAGTTATGACTTAAGCTCGCTTATGGCTGAAAAAAGCATGAGGTCAAGGTGAAACCTCTTACTGGATATTTAGAGAAAACCAGCAGTAAATGGAAACCTGTAAGAGTTTATATTTTCACTATTAGCGCTTTCTGAAAAAACAGTTCAAGTAAAACCAAAAAAAGTCTGAAGTATGTATTACGTCCCTGTTGATGAGGAGTGTAAGTGAACTTCTGACCAGTACTAAAAACAAATTTACTGGACCACCCCGGCACAATCCACAACTAAAAGGTAAAGGTGAATGAATGAGTTAGTAACGTTACTCCTTGGTTTGAGCTTCATTTGGCTTTCAAATTTGCTGCTTGTTCTCCCAACGCCAGCTGTCTGGTACATAAAAACAATTAGCTAACTATGAATTTCAAAACTCAATACTGTTTTGGGCTGCTAAAGGAATAAAAATTTAAATAAAAATAACTAAGAAAGAGTTTACACAGTTCAAATCCATGTCCCAGCCCCTGTATTGTTGACAACATGAAAGTACATTCGTTTCAGTTTGGAGGGCAACAAAGAAAATCCTAAATATTTCATTTTGATCCTCACTTATCAAAGCCGGGGTGAGTTTTTTTTTTTTATTACGGTCACTGTTGTAATAAACAATCGCTCTACGACCGAAATCTACACACTGCACAGTATCGACTTGCAATATAAACAATGATAAAGACTGTTATTTACAAAGTATCCACATTTCCAATAACAGTGTCACAAGTATCTTTTAAACAGGGGGTTGCTACAATGTCTATCAAACTGCTAAAGACTAAAATATGCCTAAATTTTCTGCTTTTCAAGGTAATCTTTATAGTGTAAACACACTGGATTGTGTACTTTGTGACAAACGCTAAGATCCCTTTATCTACAGAGATAATGGAGAACACTAGTGTTCAGCAGCAGAGTGTTAAACCTGTCCACACTCTCCTGTTTTACAACAATTCATCGTGAGAAAAGCCAACAGGAAGCAGCTTTCGCCACATATTTAAAATGTTAGGAACAAAAACTGAGCGCCGACACTTTGTGTGAAAATGTAGCAGAGGCTGCGAGAGCCACTGCCAGAAAGATTCGACTGGTCCTTGTTTGACAGATCTGTTCCCGACGCTGAACAAGACGCAGACATTCAGCATAAGGATTTTGTTGCACTTTGTAGGATTTACGGTCTCATTCTTGTATTTTGGGACAATGATCAGTGTGTGTGTTGGATGAAGGGCATTAGAAATGGGAATTACTCACTCTTCACATTTCGTCACATAACAACCACACATTTGATGCATTTTATTGGGATCTTGTGTTTCGCACCAGCATAATGTAGTGAATGATTGAGAAGTGGAAGGAAAATAAAGCAGGTTCAAATTTTTTCCAAATGCAAATCTGAAAAGTGCGGCAGCTCCCCTTCATTCTGACGCTGTTAAATAAAATCCAGTACAGCTGACTGTCTTCAGAAGAAACCTAATTCGTAAATACAGTCTGAACTGAATCAGACTGCAAATTCAGCTTATGATTCGTAAAACACAGCAGACAGGTCGGAGGGAAAGGTGTGAACTTTAAATCAGGGTTGTGAGATAACAGCCAGAGATTTCAACATTCTTAGCAAAGAGTGACTCGCAGTAACTCTGGAGAAGCTGCAGACATCCACTACTCGGTTAGAGTAATCTGTTGACAGGACTCCGCCAACGAAAGGCTGGCAAGAATAGGCAGAAAGAAAACCATAAAAGGACCTGAAAGCCCCTGTGTGGAAGAAGGTGCTCTGATCAGTTGTTGACCAGTCGTTCTGGTCAACATGCAAAATGAAAACACCCCAAACAGACCATCCTCAAAGTGAAACATGACAGTGGCAGCATCATGCTGAGGGGATGGTTTCTAATCAAAAGACAGGGAAGTTGATCCAAATTGATTTGAAGATTGATGGCACTAAATACAGACCAAAAGTTATAATGGAAGATTTAAATCAAATCATGCAGGTCTAGGCCTAGTCAGTCCAATTGGCAATGTTCACTGTCCATCCATTCTGATTTAACTTGAGCTATTTTGAAAGATAGAAAAATGGGCAAAAACTTATGTATTTGATATGAAAAACTGTCAAAGAAACTGAAGCTGTAATTGCACATAAAGATGGAAAACCTAAGTATTAACTCTGAGGGAGCTGGACAGAAATGCATACCACACGTCAAAAGATTTTTATTTGTAAAAACAAATTCACGTTTTAGTTTCCTTTGACTTCACAATTGTGCAAATGGACGTGTCTATTGTATAGAATCGCAATGAAAGACATTGAGGTGTGTAACTTGTACATGACAAAATGTGAAAGGCTGTAAGGGGCATGAAAACGTCTGCAAGGCACCGTGTAAAACAGAACCTTTGTGACCTGCTTATTACAAAGAACTGGCTCAGAAGTAGCCAACTCTATGCCTGAGGAATAATTTATTCACATTTAATCCATTTTAAATGCAAACTCAGAGCTGAGTTTCACATTTCCTCTTCTTGGTCACATTTGGATTCTTAAAACACTTTCAAACCATGATGGATGTAATCACCACAGAATTATTTCAGGCCTTTTGCCTCTGAGTTTTATTGTTTTTGTGTAATAATTCCCATTTCTAATGTATTTCGATTATTTTCTGACTGTGAAACAGATTAAAAACAACAACAAAAAAACCTGTAGTGGGACTTTCTGAAGCCCTACTGTCCCGTCACCTCTATGACGTCATCATCAGAGCTGTCCCCGCCATTCACCGCGCTCGGGTGTCTGTCCGGCTGTGTCAGCGCGGCACCCAGGAGGCTGGAGGTGGGGTTGGTAAAATGAGAGAGAAAACTGGACGTCGCAGAGTTGGAGTTGGGCACGGAGAAGCCCCCCGACCCCGAGAGCAAAGAGCCGGGGAACATTCTTGGTGAGGAGAGCAGTGGCTGACTGTAGCTGAGAGGAAAACCTGAAGAAAGCAGGCCGGCCATGTTGGGGTTCATCAAGTACGGAGGCAAAGTGCCAGACGGGAGGGAGGAGGAGGTTGCTGTCGACGACATGGGAATGGTGGAGGAGGCGGAAGAAAATGCCGAGGACGAGTGAGGGAGGTGCCCGTTCCCCGCAGCCGGCTGCCTCAGGAGGTCCGAGCTCACCGAGGGGAACATGGACTGCAGGTCGGCCAGCGTTTGTCCCGAGGATTGGAGGAATGAAGATCCTCCTCCAGGCATTAGAAGCGGCTGACTCACATGACCCAGGTTCCCCAGGTTCAGACCTACCGGTGGGAAACTGAGCCCGCCAGAGTTCACCGACAATCCGGGAAAATGAGCTGTGACCGAGGTGTGCTTTCCTCCCGTCTGCGTGTTGTCCTGGCTGCCGTCATGCTTCCGTTTGCCGCCGCGCTGCGCCTCTGCGACTGAACTCAACAGGTCGTTGGCGAGTTGTCGGCTCTGATCGCTGGTCTGAGAGCCTCCCTCTTCCCCAGCTGTCGCAGACGGCAAATCCAGAAGCGACGACGATTCATTCGCCCTGCCGGCAGTGACGCTGCCTGTAGACGACGTGTAATGGCTGAGCTCTCGAAGGAAATCGGAGCTCAGAGGAGACGGGGGCCGCTGGTCGGCGGTGGGGGAGCGCCGCGACTGGTCGACTGGAGATGAGCAACCGTTGCTCACCGAGTGGATCAGGGAGCCTTGGGTGTCTCCTGAAGAGATAGAGATGATATTGAAGAAGATGTGGTAGTAACCCGTTTACTTTGGAAAACAAAAAAAGTCAGATGTCTGGAAATTACATATTAATATAAATAATGTAAAATACGCCGATACAGAAAGCATAAGCTGATAGTGTCCATCGCAAGAACCTTCTTAAAAGCAGAAACAGAGACATCTGATTAGCTACTGCGTTGTTTGTCCCCCTGCAATATAAACAATGTCTAACTTCTGAGGTAGCTTTTATTTTAACATGGAGAAACAGAATATCTGTTAGAAATCCCCCCAAAAAATGCATCCAGGAAAATAATAAAGAAGTCGCTCAGTGAAACAAAGATCACTTCCAAACAAAACACCACTTAGAACTTTTCTTTGTTTATCTGCACAGCAGTGAGTCGTTCATTGTCTTGTAGGAATATTAGAAAAAGGTGGAGAAAGTGTTTCCATGGAGGAGTGTGTTTTACACACGCGACTCGTAATCAGAAGTATTTGTGCTCCACTTGAGCACCAGATCAATTCAGAATCCTGGTTGTTTGAAGGGGATTTAATTATTAGTATTTTACTTACTCAGGAACACATGACCTTATTTTTTACCTTTTAGGTAAAGTATTTGTTCTGGAGTTTTGATGTAGAGAGGCAAAACTGCTGCCTCTCTACAGCAAATAAAATAACCCTAAAAAGATTTGCATTAAATTAAGGATTAATTTTCCTTTCCAGGTGAGTAAACTTACAAAATGAGCAGGGGATCATTACTCATTACCCCCTTGCTGCACAATTAAAACTTTAATACAAGCTTTGATGATGTATGTGGCAAGGAAAGAGCTTTAAGATTACAGCAATGTATGCAGTACAATCCCTCTAGACAATTAAAAGAGACGTGATGTGGGAGAAGTCGATGAAACAGGAAAATGTTTTGCACCTCTAGATGGAGCAGACGCTCCAGCTGCCGGCCTGCTGATCTTTCCAGATCGAATAGCAAAAATCCTTCCATCGTTCGTCCTGATGTAAGTACCTGTGTTAGGGAAAATTCAACGACTGAAAAGGTTCACTAAAATGTTCTGTTTGAAGAGGCTTCTTGATGAAGATGTTACCTTTCGATCCTCTAATGACGTGGATGCTCTCTCCTGCGCTGATGTGAGCCTGAACGTCAGTAGAGCTGTTTGCTCCTGGGATTACAATGTCTGTGGATCCAGGTGAAAGTGGTATGTTATAATGTGATTAAACTTCAAAGTGTGTTTAACATTTTACTGATGGTAACGTCTCAAACACTTGAATTGCTATAAATCTTTCATTTGCAGCAGTCATTTGTTAAATACCCGTTGTGGTGACAATCCTTTGCACGTAAACACCTGCTTTCTGCAGGAAGTTGAGAGGAAGGCTGCCGGCAGAGCTGGAGCCGGCCATTCCCATGCCGACCTGCCGAGGCATCATCGGGATCGGGGTCGACTGGATGGGCCTGACGCTCGCAACTGGCTTGTCATCTGGCCGTGTTATATGGCGCCTGGAAATACAAACACTAACTTGAGCTGCACTTCCAACAGTAAAAGACTAATAAATGATGATGTGATAAGAAGTGTAAAGATGAATGGATTGCAGATCTAACTGTCTAAAAATAAAACAGTCAACTGGAAAAGGTGAAGCCTACCAGCCGCGTTGGTTAAATGCTGCGATGCTCGCCAGCGAGTGTTCACTTGTGGGGTAGTAGGGCGCATACGACGGGCGGGAGTACGGTACAGAGGCTCGCTTCTCGTCCTCGTAGCTCTTTTTTGCAGCTCTTTTCTCTGCTTTGGTCAGTTTTGACTCCTTCCGGTCCATGAGCAGCGACTCATGGTGGAAAGGTGGCTAAAGGGACACATCAGACCGAAAAGATAAATGGACTTCAGCTCCACAGGAAAGACATCAGGGATTTAAAGCTACTGAAGTTTGGAGACTTCAGATTACTTACTTATTCACCACCACAAAACCTAAAATCTTTTCATGTTAGATGTTACTGGATGTACTGGAGAAATGTGTGTTTTTAATTTTGTGTGCTCTTACAACCCATTTCTTATTTTGTAGCCAAATTATGGCCAAAGATGTTTTAGATATCTGTGTGTTTTTGCACTCTTCAAACAAACCAGCCTATCAGGACCTGAACCCCTTGGCTCATTCTGCAGCAAAACACCCAAACCTCCCGTTAGATTTGAAGAGCAACAAATCTTGGAAAATGCCTGAGGCTTCTGAAGTTGCTAAACAGAGTAACACCTTTCAAGTCACTCTACCTTGGTGATGAGGTTTGGGTAAAGCTCACAAGCTCGATATATCACCGACTCCAACTCTCTCTGCGATTCCAGTGAGATCTTCTCAGCCTCAGGCTCCTCTTCTACAAAGTGCAGCAATGACTCAACTTCTTTACGGGTGAAGTTCAGGACTGGGTTCAAGTCATCGACCACCCGGTCTTTAAAAAAGACAGATAAGAGAGTTCTGCTTCAGAAAACAAAGAAGGAGGAAGGCTGCAATAGAGTTAATATCCATCAAAAAATATGAAGCTCTTACCCGACATGCCCTGTTTGGAGACCTGTCTGTCATAGATCTTCTTCTCCAGGGTGAAGTCACAGACCAGGCGGTAGATGTAGCAAGGCTTCCTCTGACCGTAGCGGTACACGCGACACACCGCCTGGGCATCGTGACACGGGTTCCATGACGCGTCAAAGACGACAACACGGCTGGCCCCGATCAGATTCACCCCCAAACAGCCCGCTCTGCGGAAAACAACGACATTTAGCATGGAGAAGAAGCACGAGCTGCGGCTACAAGACGAAGCGGCCTACCGTGTAGAAAGCAGGAACAGCCACGCTAATTTGTTCTCTGGGTCATTAAACTGATTGATGAGACGTTCTCTCTCTGATGCAGATGTACTCCCGTCCAGTCCTGCAGACACACATCAGCGCTGAAACAACTGAACAAGCTATATAACTCAGAAAACATTACCAAAGATGAAATATTGAAAAAGGTAAAAAAATTAAAATAAAATCACTTGCTATGTAAATAAAAAGTAATCAGAGATGAGCAAAAGTGAGTGAAGCAAAAATGTGAAAAAAATATCAGATTTTAGTGCAAAACACTCCATGCTTAGCGACTAGTTTGGAAAAAAAAGGCAAAAGTTGGACAGCTTACTGTAGTAGTTGAGGTTGCGAACCCAGTTTTGGTTTGGGCTGTCGCTGGGGACGATGCCGGGGGGCATTGGTCTCTTTGAAAGGAAATCCTCTATGACTGTCAGAGTGTTCAAACTTTGGCTGTTGGACACATTAAAAATCCGTCAGAACACTTACTAAGCTCAGAGGTGCAGCCAATGAAACAGGCATCATATTATTGAAGTTGTATGCAATGAATAACCAGGGTGTGAGGACTTTTAATATCTGTATGTTCCAAAAACTGGGGTATGCTGAAGGAATGCTGAATCACATATTTTAAAAGTTAAAATCCTGAACAATCATCTTCTAAAAATGTTCAAATTTATTATGAAGCAGGATTTAGTTTTTGGCTTTTTTATTGCTTTCCTCTTTAAATGCATCTGGCATGTAAGACAATAATTTGGGGATCTTGCTCAAGTATTCTTTTTATCTACTAAACTTTTCTACGTTTTGTCACATTACAATCAGAAACCTCTGTGTATTTAGCGAGATTTTAATGTGATAAACTGACACTAAAAAGTGGATAATTGTGAAAAAATGCTTCTCGTCTTTTAGGATACGTCTTTAACAGCTTTTCACATTAAATAATAAATCTTTTGCCTATTTTTTTTAGCAGAATAGCTCAAGATCCGGTCAGGCTGGAAGGACACTGTGTGTGTGATTGATTTTCAAGTTTCTCTACAGATTCTTGAATGAATTTTGATCTGTACTTTTTGTTTCTCCTGTTGTCGTTTGTTAACGAAGATCTTCACAGGACAGAAGTATTTATACACAGATTAAGTAACACACAGATGGACTGTTGATATCATTTCTGAAGGCAACTGGCTGGACTGGATTTTCATTCAGGATATGAGAGTAAAGAGGGTAGTGAGAACTCTTTATATGCAGAATGTTTTCAGAGACTATCATGTTTGATTTTTTAGATGTAATAAATGATTAACATAAATGTTTTTTCACACTTTTTCAGATCTGAAATTGATTAAAAACCAAATCCTTACTTTTTCTGCACAGTAACCCTGTCACACTCCACTTACTGTCCAAGGAAAGTATAATAGATACATAAATCTCTTTTTTCTCACTTATGCAGGACAGAAGACTTACCTAAAGACCAAAATCTTGTCTCTTCTCCTGACACTTTCTTCAATCAAGTGGAAGAGCAGAACAATCTTAGCTGAGTTTTCTAAAACTCCCGTCCGGTAGTTTGCCATGATGTCTTTTGCCTAAGGAAGTATTAAGTGCAGAAAGTTGTCAGGATTTCCTTTGCATTTGCATTACTTTAGCTGCATCTAAATGCCTGGCCTGGCTCTAACCTACCCATTCATATGTGATGACTTGATTGGCTCTATCTTGAGACGGATTGAGCGGCGGCAGGCTGTTGTTGCCTTTGCTTGAGTCGGCCACTTTGGTCTTCAGGCCGGCACTGGGAGCAGGGCAGCGTGGGTTACTGGCCGAGGTAATGTCATCCAGGTCCAGATCCTGCTCATTGGCCTGGTTCTCCTTCTCCAGGGCTTCGTAGAGGACGTCAGGGTGATTCCAGATCTGTTCAGAAAACACAGGTTAACGCTTTATCAAGGAATACGACATGCAGGTAGCTCTCAAAACGAGACAAAAACAGTCTGACCTTGCAGCAGACGCAAAAAGCTTTAAGTGGGTTAAGGCCGAGCCAGCCGCTGTTCCCTGCCTCTCGAAAGCGCTTCATGAACTCTGTGTACAGTGCCTTCTGAATGGGAGAGAGCCGCACCAGGATCACAAACTCCTCCTTATTTGGCAGGTGGTGTCTCAGCACGTCATGACCTCGCCTGCCAACGACGAAAGCGACACAGACACACAGATGTAATAATAAATACCCTTCAGGGAAGCTTTTCCTAGTGAGAAAGGCTCACCTCTGAACGAAGCCCTCCAACAAGCTGTGCAGCACGTGGCTGCGATAGCGCATCAAGCGGACATCTTGGGGTGTGCTGTCCACGCACTGACCGTTCAAGATGGGACGCTCAAACATGTTGCTGAACTCCTGGCGCGTGCCTAGAAAGTCCGGCCTGACAAAGTCCACCATGCACCAGTACTCTATGAGGTTGTTCTGCAGCGGGTAGCCCGTCAGAACCACCCTGCGCCTTGAGCGGATGTTCTTCAAGGCCTGCGACGTGCTGGCGTGGTAATTCTTAATGCGGTGGCCCTCGTCGCAGATCACCACGTCAGGACCGGGCCGTGATATTGACTTTTCAATCCCTGGTGGATGAGGCGGTGCAATTATTAACAATCGCTGTCTAATTCATTCATCCTCCTTGAACTTCTCTATATTTTGTTACGCTGCAACTGCAACCTTCAACCATTTCATCTGAATTTTATGTGATAAAACAACAAGATGCAGCACATATTCTGGGGAACATTTTTCAAATAAAAATCTGAATAGTGAAGCATGTGCATTCAGTGCCCTTTACTCTGATGTTCCTAAATAAAATCCTCTTCAAACTGACCCCAAAATTCACCTTATTAATACTGTGATGTGAAAAGTGATTAAATACTTCCCAATTTTCTTTTTTGGCATGTTTAAGTGTTTCAGAACATCAAACCAATTTTAAAATTAGTCAGCAACTGCTATCAGTCAAAATTGACAATGACTGATTTTTTTTGTTTGTTTTAAATGTTAAAACAACCATTTTATCCAGGCTGTTTTTTCTTAAACTGTCATGAGGCATGAATCCTGAAATGCCTGCTGCTCAAGTTGCTCAACAGATAGTTGATGCCACCAATCTTGCTTCACCGGGTTAGCTTGAGCAGCTAAAGATGTCTTTTCAGATGTCTACAAATGACACTAGTTGTGCACAACTCTTTTGGTCTATCAGGCAGCATCTCTAATCTACATCAAGGTTTATCCTTCTAGTGTGAAACTGTTAAAGTGGTATTACTGTTTTTGCAAGGCGCTGCATTTTTACACACATTACTTATAGTCATGGTCACCTTTCATGAGCTCTTGCTGCCTGTCCTCTTCATCCAGGTCAATAATAACCGGCCCAGCTGGTTTTTTTGTTTTCCTCTTCTTTCCCATCACAAAGCTCTTCTTCATGGACAACAGGCGGTACATCTCATAGCCCATCAACAACACACCTCCGTCTCTGGACCACTCTTCCACAACCTTGGCCCTGGCCACCGTGGTTCTGAGGATCACACAGTCAGAACAATTCATGAATAAAACATACATAATATATATAAAATGTAAAAAGGTCACCCCAGTGCATCGGTCACCACGTCACGTACTTGTGCTCGTCATTGAGAATGTGAACTTTGAACGCGCGGCCAGTGACGAACGTAGGGTCTGTGTCAGGAGGAAGTGCTTCCTGGGGTGGGAGCCAGAGGTTAAACTCTGTCAGCCAGTTCTGGAGCGTGTTCACCTTGTGTGTGGAGGAAAAAAACAAAACATTGAGAGGTGAAACTCAGAAGACAGGAAAAACAAAAAACGTGATGTTTTATCATATTTTGATGACTTACAGGGACGATAGCCAGAACAGTGTGGGCCTCTGTGTTCCTCAAAAGGATGTCGATGAAGGAAATGACCTGCAGAGTTTTGCCCAAGCCCATGCTGTGAGCGAGGATGCAACCAAAACCACTGCTGGTCTTGTACCGGTCCAAAGACTCGATCAGGTTATCATAGAGAAACCGGATTCCCCCAATCTTAAAAGAAAAAATGAGGCTTACCACACACTTCCTGCAAGTTACACATCAAGTTTTACATGAAGAAAAGTAGAAAGTCACAGTCATACTTGGTGAGGTTTAACAGCTCGGGCCAGCTGTGGGGCGAGGTAAACATCTTTCTCCTCTGGAGGGTGGTTGATGTTCACCAGGACTCGACCCTGGGCATCAGGCAAGTTCAGCGCGTCGTTTATGTGAGCGCCGCTGCTCTCTTCCGAACCGTGGGCGGCATCGGCTTCCTCGTCAGCTGACTCGCTGCTTATCTGCAGAGTGTCTTCGTCCCCCGAACTGAGCTCAATTATATCTGCATCATTAAGGAAATAAACACTGTTGGTGCATAATTAAATCCCACTTGAAGGGTGGGCGATATGGACTTAGAATTTCATTGTGATGATGATAGAAATTATGACACAATCTAATTATTACTTTTTTTCAAGGTAACCATACGACGATAAATACATGGGATCAAAACACGCATATTGTTCTTAAAAAACATTCCAATTTAAAAAACAGGGTTCTTCAAGACGCCACTTAGTTAAAGAAGCATGATTTATGTAACTGAGCTTTACACAGACACTGCATTTAATTATAGTTACAAATTTACTGACACTTACTGGTGCTCTCATGAAACGGATGATTTGGATTCATTAAATGATATTTATTGAGACAACAATAAATCAAAATTCTTATTACGGTTATAAATTTTTCACAATAAATGCCCACCCCTAGTCATACTGCTTGAAACTGGTTAGAGCTGCAGTATGTACTCACCATCTCCAATGGCGAGGGCGGGCAAATTTATATCCGCTTTTTCATCTTCCTCACCACTACTATCCAGACAGATCACATCCTGTTTACCCTGGAGAGCAGGAACCAACTGAGATACTTCTGCTAATAAAGCTGCCGTCTCCACTGTTGTAAATATCAGAAGAAAACAGAATATTTACAATTAAAATATTACAGGACAATCATTAATAACTTCTTGATAACAAACAGTCACCCAGTTGAGCGTCCGCGAGAGATGGGGCCGGAGTAGGAAAGTCTTTCCTCTGCTGCTCCAGTCGTTTCCGCCTCTCCATCTCCTCCAGCTGAGCTGCTTTAGTTCCAGCCTCAAGCTGGTCCTCTTGCAGGAGCTTTCTGTGAGCAGAAATAAGACGAAACAAGCCTGTTCATGCACTGAAAAAGACATTACAAATCCTAAAAGTGGTTCTGATGCAGTGACAGAACCAAACGCTGAAACTGGTTCATTTGGTCCCGTAATGCTTGGTTGAAGATTGGCCGTACAGGCTCAATATGAAACACGCATACATACATACCTAATGTTCTTCCTCATGTGAGCTGGCTTGGCTGGTTTTGGAGGTTTGGAGCTTTTTGAAGATTTGAGTGATTTTGTTAATTTAGAAGCTTTGTCCTTCTTTGTTTTTCTAGGCGCGGCTTTGCTCTCGCTCGAGTTCCCCGCGCTGGTAGGAGGCTGAGATCGAGAGGCGGGTCTGGAGGACGGCCGGGAAGGAGGCTCTGAGGAAGGCTCTCCAGAGGTAGTTGAGTTGGAGTCCCTGCCATCCCCATCGCCTTGACTCTCGGCACTTGCAGGTCGCTCTTCAACGAGAAAAAATTTATTACAGTTAGTAACTCCCCACTATCCAAATCTACATGTTATATATTTAGACAAAAAGACAGTTAAATTAAAACACATTGCTTTGTTTCAAGGGAATTTGTATTACACAATTTTAATCATTTTGAGGGTATGACTTTGATTAGGCCATTGCAACACAAAATTCTTTTTAAATACGGTTTGATTAAGAGCTATTTTAACGAGTTATGGATTAATACAAAATATTGTCACTCACCCAGTCCATCGTCTTCGTCATCTCCATCATTTTCCTCCTCGTCTTCCTCCAGGTCTTCATCATCATCCTCCTCCTCCTCCTCATTTTCCATACACTCCTCTTCGCTGTCAATGCTGCCCTCCAGGTCACTTTCTGAAATTGCCTCTTCAGACATGTTGTCTTCCAGGGCTGTTAAAGTATTACCTACACACCTTCATCAGGAACTTAAGAGAAAAAAAGTCTTACCCTTCTGTCACAGTTACATGCATCTAAAAGAAATTTGTTTAATTTGCTCTGTGAATATTAAGCTAGCACCTCAAACCATTCAAAGTAAGTAAAAAAAACTTTTATCTTTTCAGAGCTTGAAGGCCACATACTTTACAAATTGTTGAACAGAAACAAACCTTGGGTTACAAACATTTTAATTATTTTTCCAGCCTAACAGGAAGAAAATGGAACACTTTTGAACTCTGATAAGAATATTTAAAGTAACATTTCCAATTATGTAAAAATAAATTCAAAATAAGATTTCTGACAATTTTTACTGTAAAATGATGGCCAAGCTGTAAAACGTAAGGTGGGTTTATTTTTATGAAGTGTTTACTACAGTTAGGTGATGCCAAACACAACACAACTAAAAATATTTGCGGTGTAAAAAATAGGTTTCCTAATTACCTGGACGTTTTTCTAGACTCATTCACTTATTCATTGTTCCAGAAAGTTACTAATTGGGCATGTATGATTCCTATCAAAGGTACATAGTATTTGAAAATATCCTCTTAATTTGAAATGAACAAAGTCTGAAACGGCACTACTTTTGTTCAGGAAACTACTCATTACTCATCATCGCAAGTCTTTATTGTTGAATTCTTATTTCATGCCATTAAATGCAAACTGTTACTGTCCAATAAACTGATACCGAGAGTTTGTTTTGCATTAACAAGCAAAACATTGAACAGAAGAAATCCAGAAATGGATGAGTGAAACATAATAAGTGTAAACAAAATGGCTTAACAAATATTGTGTAACTTTATTCTGTCATTTCCATCGTTCAGTCATTCTGACGCATCCTCATTTTGTTTTATCTTGCTGTTTATCTCAATAATAAAAGCTATTTATTCATTTATCCAAATAAAACATCTTGGCTGAGGTTCCATGATCTCCCTCAGTAAAAATACTACAGTTTTATAATACAATAGGGTTAGCACAAAATGAATAAAGTAAAAATAACACGATTCTATCAGTTTTGTTTAGACAGAAGGGCAACAACTGTTCCTACTCAAGTCAAAACAATGTAGCTTTATAACTGTTACAGCTGTAATTTTGACACAAGAACTTAACTAAAATGTTTCATCAAATAACTATCAAATAACTGCAACATTGAACATTCATTTTTCACATTCTTATTGCTTTAAATATATTTGCCATTCTGATCTTCATAGACTAACAAAAGCTAACTGGTATGATTAGAAATATTTCTTAAAAATAAACAAAACATAATTTTCATTTGATTTTTGATGGACGTACATTATTCTTAAATGATGTGTTTAAGTGCTGTACGTCTGAATTTTTTAGCTAACAACTCTAATTTTGGCATTGTTTCAGATGTCATTTTAAATGAACTTTTTTTAAAACATATGCCAACACAAATAACTCACAATTCTGGTCCTTTTTCTCACTGGGGTCACAACAGACCCACTGCCTCGGAGCTAAATCAGAAACCTACCAGTTAGCATTAAACCACTTCTGCTGTGTTGTATTGCTGTTATTATTGTGCAAAAACAAACAAACTACAGGTAATTGATTCGCTACTCCACGAGGAACACCGCCGCGTCCAGACATATGGCGCTTTCTCAAGCTGAATTAAATCTCTATGATCGCTAATTACTAAACAACAAAGGTATTTTCAGCCGCTCAAGAACAGCTAAGCTCTTCGTGCTCTGGAGAAGCAATGTTTTACTGCACAATGAGCTACAAGAAAAGATGCATTATCCCACTAATAGTAATGTCTTGTTGGACGTCCCTGCTAGACAATGATCTGATAAATGTGTGGGTGTAACGTAGCTAAAGCTAAGCTAAAACACAGCGAGGCTAACACGCTCGGCTAATTGATGCGCATCAGCTGCCCTCAAACATTCAGGTGTAGTTAGAGCTCACCTTTTGTGCGCTCTGCCATTCAGGTAGTCGGCCTGCTAGTGGATGCGACCGACATTCAGTCGAAAAGTACAGTAATAGTGTGAATGAAACGATAAACGTTGCTAATTTCCATTTTTCCCAGTGTGCATATAAATACTGCCCCCGAAAACGGAACTCCAACGAAGGTTCCTGAGCCCTACTTTCAGTGAAGATGGAGCAAGATGCAGATGTTGACGTTTATATCACAAATTACACTTCCTACAGCGCTTGTAAATATCAACAGAAGCAATCAAGTTGACGAGTGTGTTTATACTAGGTTCATAAAAGAAGGCACGTTTTTAAACTTTATTTAGGAACATATAAGAGGACAGTGAAAAAAAATATTTACTGTTAATGCTTAATGAAAAAAATATTACTTTGCTGTAATAAAATCTTTTCATTATTGCCAACCAGAATTATAAATGTCTCCATTGATATTTTTGAAGCTGTAGCATTAGTGTAGAGCTCCTTGGTTGGAGGCTTCTTGATGAAAGGTACAAGCAATTTTTTCTTCATCCTGTTTTTTTTTTTTTTAATCCTAGCAGGGCACAAGTTGCAGTTTTTCCAGAATATTTAAGTCAAAATTTACTTTATTCCATTATTTTTATTTTAAAAATAACCAAAAGTAACCAAAGTGCTAGTCAATAGTGGTTAATAATTATATAAAAGATAAAATACTGAATCTTAAATTAAAAATTACATAAATAAGAAAATACATGGTGTGAGCTATGCTCATCCTAGAAAAGTCAAGGAGATATAGCTCTACTGCTGACCTTAACTCGGTTTTCAATGCAATAAATTCTTTGCTATTGTCAGACTTGTACTCAGAAAACAGATACATGGATAAATGAATTTAATAGAATAATGTTGGCTTCTTAGACTAACATATTTCATTTATATATATATTTTTAACAATGGCTGTTATGATTATTCGCAAAGGTTTTGACAAGTCTTTCGTCTTGTAAAGTTTCATAACATTACATTTTGTGAAGACAAATGCATTAAATTTCTGAAAAACTTGAATTGATTCAGAAATTGCTACCAGTTAATAGATTGTATTTACACAGAAAGAGATATTTATGATCAAATATTGATATTCAGTTAGTATGTGGTAATTCACTCTTAGAAATGCTGCATGAAGCATTCTTTGTGAATAATTGTGTTACATTAAACTAACTATTTATACACTAATAATAATTCTATAATGTGGCAAACTTTACTGTTGGTGTTAAATCTGCCTTTTATGCTTGAGGAAGCCATGTTGGATTTAGAAACTGAGGTTGGAGATAAATTTTTGCATTCAAGCCTGTGGGGTTTTTCCATTAGTGATGTTCCAATGCTAAAGCACAATTTGAGCTGTAAGTGTCTCACGACTTGTTCTCTAAGAGTCAGTAGGGAGAGAAAAATTCTAGTCTTTTTAATAAGGTGATACGAATCCCGGTGAGGCCGGACTGTTTTGTTTTGTGACAACCATCTGTCGCCTTCTGATGACGTAATTCGTCAGCGACCAGTTTTGTCTATTGTGTTTATGTTATCTGTCTTCGTTTGTTACGCGAGAGGAAACTGAGTTCAGCTACAAAACATCTTCAGCCGCCTCTGGACATGGACTGGAATGTATCTTAAATATTAGACTCCTCTCCACACGCTCAAAATGAACAACAAAGGCTGGCTGGAGTTGGAGAGTGATCCAGGTGAGAAATATCGGCAGATACTTAGGCTAACAAACATTAGCTTCCACATGTAGCCAGCTGGGCAGTGCAGCTATTATATAAACGTTTAGAAATTGACCCTAATGTAGAACAATGCACAACTATCATGTAAAGTGACGTCTGATATTTTGTTTTTGTAATTTTTCAGTGTATTTATTTGCAGTTTTAACCGACTTGTTTTGTTTTTGCAGGACTGTTTACTTTGCTGGTGGAAGATTTTGGTAAGCCTTTAGTTTACAGACTAAAATCTTCACAGATCTGCTACTAACAATAACTCTTTACAAATATAAAAAAACAAATCCTGGATTTTTAACGTTTCTCTTTTGCACGTTTCTCTAGGTGTCAAAGGCGTCCAAGTTGAGGAAATCTATGATCTACAAAGTAAATGTCACAGGTGTGTAGCTTGGTCAGTTAGGTTGCAAAACAACAACTTTTCGAGAATACACATTTCATATGTACATATAGAAACATAGAAATGTTCATGCATTTTTTTGACAGCAGTAAAAGTGTGTGTCATTTTCCTTTTCAGTCCTGTTTATGGCTTCATCTTCCTTTTTAAGTGGATTGAAGAGCGTCGGTCCAGGAGAAAAGTCAACACCTTGGTGGATGAGACCTCAGTTATAGATGAGGAAATTGTAAATGACATGTTCTTTGCTCATCAGGTAACTGTTTTATACATGGATATAACACTTATGTTTATCACTGTCGCATTGTTTTATGTGTTTCTTTCAATTATTGAATTTTAGTGTAGATTCTTATGAATGAGAATGATACATCTATATACACATATGTAAATGGAAAGTATGCATGTCTGAGTAGAACAATAATAGTTATTGTTAGTAATTGAAGATGCTTAATGTCACAATTTGGTACTCGTTGTCAGTAAAAGAAGTTAAAGAAGTTTTGGAGTTTAAGTAAATCATTCATTAAAATAGTTGATACTTTTAAATCATGCTGAAGTCTTGCATCCATGTTAAAAAATCAGAACAGTTTTTGTATTTTATAATAAATAATATAAAATATAAAATAATGGACAAAAAATGTCTTTGGTTTAAAAAAGTAGATGCTCATATATGTTGATTTTTGTTAAAGTTAATAACTGAAGATTACACAGAATATTTAAAAAGGCAACTTTCTTTTCCAACTGTCTGACATTAATCCAAACTAAGCTTTTCCTACTATGGATAACTTCTATTTGATGAATGTCAGAATAATAAAACAGGCATAATTAAAGTGTTTGCCAACAACAGTTGCTGTTACATTTGGAGGAAAAAGGGAGAAACTTGTATGCCTGAGAACACCATCACATCTATGAGATAGTGGTCTGGGAAGCATTATGTTGAAGGGGCAATATGGGCCAGTGCACTTCACAAAAAAGATGGTATTATTATGTTGAACGATCTAAGCAACACCTTCCAATGTCAGGCAGGATGTTACAGATTGTGTCCCAGTGATTCTTGGTTAATTACTATCAAATTATTTAAAAGTGGCTTTATAGCAAGAAAGTCAATGTGTGTAGGATTCATACTAAAATGTGTAGGTATGATCAAAAGGTGAAAATGATGTACGTAAAAAAACAAACAAACCAAAAAAAAACCCATGAGACTTATAAATCCTTGTTCTTTATAAGCAAGGAATTTACCTATATAGATCACAGCTGCACACTGAAGTTTGGGGTTGTAACATGTCAATAAAAAAAAAAATCCACTGCAAAAGCCTCCTTTCTACATGCAGATTCAAACCACTTCCTGCCCAAAATAATAATAAAGTCATTCAACATTTTTATCTGTTTGCCCTTTTCTAGCTGATACCAAACTCATGTGCCACTCATGCCTTGCTGAGTGTTCTTCTGAACTGCAGTGGAGTCGAACTTGGTACCACCCTCAGTCGCATAAAGGCTTTTACTAAAGGCTTCAGTCCTGAGGTAAGTTATCCCTCCACTCAACCATTAACGTCTGCTTTCAAAGGATTTATTTTCCACATGTTTTAAAAAATACAGCTGTTAAATATTGTAATTCTTACAGCAAAATAAAACATCATGGCTTTTCATATGAATGATGCTAAAATATACATTAAAACAATACACAGTCTTCATTATGGTATTCTATTATTTTATAGCATAACCAGAGGTGAGAAATTGTACCCAAGTAAGAGTAACGTTGCTTCACTATATGTTTACTGAAGTATCAGTAAAAAGTGATCATCTAAAACATTACTTTAAAAAAGTATTTGGTAAAAGGCAACTTAAGTAGTTTTGTTTAATCGATTTTAATTTGTGGAAACAAAATGTTCATAGACTCGATAGAAAATTCTGTACATTTTCTGGTCTTTAGAGTAATACAAAAATTGAATAAGTTACATAATGACAAAACAAATTTTCCACAATAAAGAACTTTTTAAACTCTTACTTACAGTGGGTAAAATATAAATGCTAGATCTGCGCAAAGTACTTCCAGTGACTATGTCGACTGTATGTTCAAGTGACACATCAGGCTCAGGAGATGGAAAAAAGTAGAACAATAAAACTGGTGTACAAACTAGACATCTCACTAGACAAGTGCACTTTTGGTTAAAATGTGTTTGTTTGTCTTTCTTTGGAGTAATTTGAGGTTGGTAGAGTAGCCAGAACCTCAAAGAACCTCTGGTAAACATAGCACTTCTGCAAAATATTTCTCAAGTAGAAGTTTAAAAAATACAATGCATTAATATTAGTCCTATTTGTTTTAAATGTTTTGTGTGAAACTCTTTTAGCTACATTTGTTCTGTTTTGTGTTTCCTTTTCTTTCAACACATTCTGTATTTTCTCAACAAAATTTTCACATTGTATATTTTTCTTTGCTTCCAGAGCAAAGGCTACGCGATAGGAAATGCTCCAGAGCTCGCCAGGGCACACAACAGCCATGCCAGGTAGGTTATACTTATTTAAGAAACTCTCAGATGGCCTTGGGTCTGAAGAGGGAAAAATATATATATATATTCTTTTCTGATCTGACATGTTATGTAACATAACATGCTTTTGTGCATTTATCACTTTCTCAAACTCCCTGTTTTGATGTTTCCATGGAGGCCGGAGCCCAGGCACCTTCCGGAGAAACAGAATGGGATCAGTGCAGTGAGGACGATGGAGGCCTTCCACTTTGTCAGCTATGTGCCAATCAAAGACCGCCTCTTTGAGCTTGATGGGCTCAAGGCTTACCCCATTGATCATGGTGAGACTTTATATGGGTGCATATATATATTATATATATATATATATATATATATATATATATATATATATTCCCTTCTCACCCACCGCAGGTGGTTCTTATCCTCTGAGCTCGGGTCCTCTACCAGAGGCCTGGGAGCTTGAAGGTCCTGCGCAGTATCTTGGCTGTGCCTAGGACTGCACATTTCTAGACTGAGAAGTATATATATAGTGCTCCACTCCTTTTACACACTGGCCCTTGAGGTCTGACTCTGAGGTGAAAAACATTGCAGAACAAAAAACCCCCCCACAAAAGCTGAAGTTTAATTAAGAAACATCACGATGATTCTCTAGACTTTTGATGAAACATTCTGTGGACTGACAAGACAAAATGCTTTGGAAGGTGTGTTTCCTAATGGATCTGCCATAAGCAGGTGTTAATAAGATGGTGTAGCACTGTTTTACTTCTTCAGGGTGAATTGTCATAATTGAACGGACGATGAAGCCTGAGTAAGAAAGTCCAGGTAACAGTTTGTGAAGTTAAGCTCGAGTGTAACTGGAGTATATAACTCTGGACTCAACAAAAATCCGAAACCAAAATTAAGGCTTTGGAGTGGCCTAGTCAAAGTCCAGAATTGAATGAAATGAAGATGCCACAGTTAAACACTTAGATGTCAGAAATAACAAAGACTTTCTTGTAGTTTTTTCTAAGTTCGGAGAGAAATAACATTTTTACTAGGTCCAAATTAGTTTGAATAGCTCTTTTGTCTTAGGTAATGTTCTAAATGTATGATTTCATTTATCATTCACTCCGTTATCTACATTAATAATGGCAATACCAAATTCAAAATAAAAGTAAAACAAAACTATTTATGAGGAATTTTAACTGAAGTCATGTATAGTCTCAATCAACATTAGGAATTTTGGTGTCGAAGGTAAATACAAAATAAAAGACCGGTCTGTCTGAAAATATAGTTTATTTCACCTTAAGGCATTTATTCACCTTATAAATTATGTTGTTTCTTGAACTTTTTCATCACATCTCAAGTTGTTCTATGAGCTGCTGGAGATGTTTTGCTCTTAAATGATGTAGATTTATAACACAATCCTTTAGGGCCCTGGGGAGAGGATGAGGAATGGACTGACAAGGCTCGCCGTGTTATTATGGAGAGGATCGGCCTGGCCACTGCTGGGTGAGTCATGCACCATTTAGCAAAAGCAGTAGGGCTTTACCTTCTATGCCAGCCCTTCGGGCTTAATTCTCATACTGCTGCTCCTCTTCCTCTTTCCAGTGAGCCGTACCATGATATCCGCTTCAACCTGATGGCAGTGGTGCCTGACCGCAGAATGAAATATGAGTCCAAGTTGGAAATTCTAAAGAGGAACCGGCAGATCATTCTGGAGGGTCTGCAGAAGGTCAGGAACTGAGTCAAACTAAGTTTCGATACTAAATCGCTTCTTGACTCAGTGGAAATGCATTTGTCACGTTTAGCGGCTTCAAACTTTACCCAAGTAAAATCTTCTTGAGCATTCCTACAGATTCAGGTCCTTGTCTTAATGAAAATATAATAATAATTTCATAAAATATAAAATATGTCCCGTCTTCAGATGATCCGGCTCACTCAGCCTGAGGTTGTTCACGACAAGAAGCAGCAGAACTCTTCATCTCCAGATGAAAACACCATCAAGAAAGAAGCAGATGCAGGTACTGTCCCAAAAAGGACTTTAGCTCCGTTTTCAATTCACCAATCTTGTCTTTATGGAACAGTGGCAAGAAGAAAGCCAATGTTCAAGGAAAGTCATAGTTTAATCTTGATCCAACACTCTTTGTAATGGAAAGCTATACCTTTACAATGAAACCTGGTAGTGGCAGCATCATGCTGTGAGGAGGCGCATCTGTAGAAAGTTGAATAGAAGCTGGTCAGTGTTGCTGGTTGGAACTAAATACAGGCCAGTCTTTGTAGAAAACCTGTGAAGTTAGCATAGGAAAGGAGACAGGTGGATGTTCCTCTTCCAGCAGGATGATGACCTTGAACATGCCGCCTGACCTACAGGGAACGAGTTTAGATCAAAGGATAATCTTTCTTCAGATGCATACCAGACTTGAGTTTAATTGAGAATCTTTGCCAAAACGTTGCTCTTCATTTTCCATGCCTTCTGTCTTCGTCTCACATCCTATAATCCATCTATGGGTTTTTCAGAAATGTGAAACTCAATCAGTTCTCATTCTAGATTCAGTGGATGAGTCGGGGGTTCAGTCCAAGGATGGAGCTGGTTCCTCTGGAAGCTCAAAGGTCATGGGAAAACCTGCTGCCCCCACAGGAGGAGGAGCCCAGCAAGTCAACCCCATCGTTCAGCGCCTACCTGCCTTCCTTGACAACCACAACTACGCCAAGTCCCCGATGCAGGTTAGAGCGAGCGTGAAGATGTTCCAGGCACTTCAATTGGAATGAAATTGCAGTTTTGTGTCACCAATCATGGATTAATCAGGGAGTTGTTGGGTTTGGAGCTTTGGGAGGAAAATGCCATCAAAAATTGAACTGTCTCAAAAAAATACACCGAAATATATCACAGTATTGTTTTTTTTTAAAACCCTGCAAACCTCTTATCTTCAATTGAAAACACAAAAACTTTTAAATTCAATACCTTCAGTGAAAGTTGCATTTAAACATAACTCTGAACAATTACCTGGCAAAGTCCTTCCTTTTGTTTAGATTTTTTTAGTATTTTGGTGTCATGAAGAAGTAAAACTTTCCTGACTGTAAACTTTTTTGCTCTGATTCGTAGGAGGAGGAAGATCTAGCAGCTGGTGTCGGACGCTCTCGGACAGCCGGCCCTCCTCAGCCTCCGTTCTCAGATGATGAAGATGAATTTGATGAAGACGAGGAAGAAGCAGCAGGTTCTGCCAGTGCTTCCAGCAGGCAAGAGTTTTAGTTTCTATGTAGCGTCTTACAAGGGCTTTTTAAAACTACAAGCTTTGATTTGTTCTCAAAATAAATCCAGCTGTTCAGTGAAGGCCTCTAAGGTCGAGGTTGATTAGAGAACATTACTGAATAATCGATACTGTGAAGTGGAAGGATGACAGCAGACAGGCCAGAAAAAAATTTGGTAATCAGCGGCAAAAATCCACAGCTTGGCGGAGAATCTGTCTGTGGAGCAACTGTTAGTCATGCTCTTCACAAAAATCGTCTTCGTAGAAGAGCAGCAGGAAGAAAGTCAAAGACAGTCTTGGGAAATCTTCATGGCACTTTGCTACATGTCATGTTGGGGAAACGGCAATCATGTGAAACAAGATTCTGTGGCTGGAGGAGACAAAAATGTAACTTTTTGGCCCTGATAAGAATAGATACAACTCTGAACAAACTACTCCCATTGTGGAACATTCTGGTAACCACATCAAGGTGTCTGAATGAGAAAGTGAAGCTTTCAAAATCAGAGTTAACCAGTTTCTAAATTTGACATTGTTATATTTTTTACAAACAAGATTTTCATGTAAATGAGACAAATCCCTCCAAAAATCACAGAGGTTTGTGGTTGCAATGTAGGAAAAAAAAGTGTTAAAGTAAAAAGAGAATTCTAAATATTTGAATAATGAATTCGTTTGTTTTGATAAGATGTTTAAAATATGTTTTTCTTTTCTTTTTCTTTTTTAGATTCAGACGAAAGGCGAGCCTGCGGTCCAGAACGGGACGGGTTGGAACTGGGATGGAGAGCCAGATTGCCCTCAACGTTTTGGCAGAGAAACTGAAGAAGGAAGCTCAAAGAAAAGATGGTGTAAACACCCCTCTGTCTGTGCGCACTGAAGGTCGCACCGGTGGTATCTGCATCACGTCCGCCTCGCAGCCTTCCCCCACACCCAGCAACGAAAGCACGGACACGGCCTCTGAAATTGGCAGCGCCTTCAACTCCCCGCTGCGCTCGCCGGCTCGCTCTCAGGCGGCCACGCGTCCCTCGAGCCCAGTCGCCTCCCATCTGTCCCGTGTGCTGTTCGGAGAGGATGAAATGTTGAGGCTGGACTCCAGACATAACCGCGCCGTAAGAGAACTGGGACCTTCAGTCAGTGCATCGCTGCTGCACCTACAAGACGACGGAGTCATTTATGCTCTCCCTCCATCTGGTGAGAGAACAGGAAGTGAACGTTGCAGTCTAGTTTTCTTGAGTAAAACTTGAGTTCCTAATTTGTAAACCATATGCTGCATCTGTTTTCATTACCTATACAGGAGATTCTGCTGAAGGCACGAAGCTCTGCACCCCTGAGAAGGTAAAACTCAAAGTGAAGGAAGATGAAAAAGATGCCATAAAAGAAGGAGATGAGGGACCATCTGTAGCGGTGAAGAAAGAAGACGAGAACGAAGATGGTGCAGCGATGAAACCTGGCAAGGAAAAGCTCAATGTTACGGAGTCTGGAGCAGACAGCAAGCCACCAGGGGATAAGTACTCTCCAAAAGTAAGTCCTTTGTTGTAAAGTGCTGCACAACATATCCTTACAGGGCATATTTAGACTGTATAGCACTTTTAGATCTTTTTTTTTGCTTGTGCTGCTTGTAAGAAAGCTGATGCCTGTGATGGGTAGAAACACGTAAACACAAGCAGGGAGTCACCTCATTGCCTTTTTGCAGGAGCTGCTTGCACTACTCAAGTGTGTAGAAGCTGACATTGGCAATTATGAGGTGTTTCTAAAGGAGGAAGTAGAAAAGAGAAAGAAATTCAAAGTAAGTGCATCTGTTAATTCACCTTGAATTCAGTGTTTTTGGTCAAAATGTGTTTTTATTGACTTTGAGTCTAAATGTTTATTTTATTTGTGCAGATAGATGATCAGAGGAGGACTCACAATTACGACGAGTTTATCTGCACATTTATATCAATGTTGGCCCAAGAAGGTAAAAAAACCCAGTCGTTTTTGATACCTGCTGCTGATTTTTAATCTTTCTTTCCACCCTTATTAAAATCTGTCATTTAAAACTGTCTTGTGGTCTAATTAATGAAAGTTAGTAAAAGTTTTGCACAGCTCCTTGCTTCTAGGCTGTTGAATCAAGGTTAAAAACAAAACATTTTCAATATTTAAACAAGATTGGGTAGTTATTTTTATTCTGTAAGAAGCCCCACTTTCCCCAATCTTCAAGATATTCAAAGTTAAATTGTAATAATGTGTTGGTCTTGGGCTTAACTTGCTTGTGAGGACCTTCACTCTTATAAAAATCCTTAAAAAAATAGGTTCATTTAACCTACCATATGAAAATTTAACTCATTTATCTCATGCCTCCAGAAAGGCTTCACAGGACATGTATTATTTTCTTCACAATGTTTTACAAACCGTTCTATTTGACCTTCTAGGTCAGGATTTCTGTGTTTATTTCCATGCCAGAAATAAAACAATTTAAAAGAGTGACAAAGATGGAATTGCATAGGTGGTTAATATATTTTACAAGTGTTGACCTGTAATTTTGTGCTTCTTAGGCAGTTAAAGTTTTTCTTGCTTAGCTATGGAGATTGACCAGGACCAAGAGTATTTTCTGTAGGTCTGTGTTAAAGCATTAGTGTCAAACTCTTGGACGTTTCCACACTGAAACCTGTTTGTTCAGGATGTCTGCACTAAGATTTTAGACAAAAAAAAATCTGTCACATGCTAGATAAACCTTTATCCCTTTTCATCTGTTTGTTACCTAAGATTAACAAAAAAAAAAAAAAAAACTACCTTCCACTTATGCTAAAATTGTCCCTTACCTTCCCTAATATTTTGATGCATATTCTGCAGGCATGCTGGCCAGCCTCGTGGAGCAAAACATCTCTGTGCGCCGCCGGCAGGGAGTGAGCATCGGCCGGCTGCACAAGCAGAGAAAGCCTGATCGAAGGAAACGCTCCCGACCTTACAAAGCCAAACGCCAGTAGTCACAAAGTCAAATGAACACCAAGTAATCACTGCAAGGAATAAAATGATGTTGCTTCACTTCTGAAAATCATTCCTTTCGACAGTATTGTGCTGTATTTTTTTTTTTTTTTTTGTGCTTCATGAAATCTGTTTTTGGTCTTGCTCTCGTAAATGTTTGTTCGTGTGATGCTTGCATTGTTTTTATCATCAGTACTTTCAAGCAGATTGAGCTTATGTAAAACTTCTGCAACTGAACTATTAACTAAAAGTCAATATTTTCTCAGTGCCAATGAAGTATTGAATGTTTGTTTTTTTTTGGTAAAATACAATTTTTGTTTTTTTTTTACTCTCAGTAAATTTCTGCCTCAACACATTCAGTGGAGGAATTTACCTTGTAATGTACTGTTGTCTTTTTATCATGTTATTTAAAACTGACAATATGACTCTGTAAGGGTTTGAAATGCCTTTCTTATTTTAAAGGTCTTTACTTGTTTGTGTCTTTAGGGGATTCTGCAAATATACACAGAGATTTTGTGTTTGTACCTGTTTTGGATCTCAGAGTGAGTTAAGTTGAATTTGTGCTGCTTTATATTTTTGTATATATTTACATGTTATTTGGCCCGTAGACTAAATTCGGTAATTCTCTGTGCTTGCCAGTTTATTCTGAAATAAAGTTAGTTACCAAAGCAAATTAGTCTAAGACAGATTTCTTTGACTTTTGGAGTTTTAAATGTGGTATCCCAGCAGTGGCTGATTTGGAGTCTCTAAATGCTTTATATATATATAAGAAAAAAAATCTGAAGAGTTTTTATAGGTTTGTACATTGGGTGATTTTGTGAATCGGTTGTAGTGACAGTAGCCGTACACTAGGGAGAGTAATTATTCAGACCAAATGGGATCATTTCAGATCTATTTGCTGTAACTAAAGCTATTCATAAATATATATATATTTTTAAATTGATCACATGGACAGATTTTTAAAATTTCCAATTTAGTTTTTGTTCTGATTACATGTAAATAGTGGCTTCCTTTGTCATTAATTTTCTTCTATTTTTAATTTTGTGAATGATTTTTAGTTTGTCAGTTTATGCAACACAGCTGGGGTTTTTTTTCAACTATGCTATTCAAATTAGTATCAAAATACTAAACAGTATAATTTTTTGTGTTGATATTTACAATTGTTAATGCTAGAAAGCTTTAGTTCTGTGTAAATGCAAAGTTGTGTTTTTGGCTACTTGGCAAATAATACAGACTAACAGCCCACATAAAGGTCATAATGAAGCATTCAACTCATAGTTTGTGTAAATGATGATTATTACTTATGGTAGTGCACATTTTTGTACAGCTCTGCTTGAGGTTGCTAACTATTATCCATCCCTCCATGATCTGAAATTAAAGCAAGTATTTTAATTAATCTTAATAGGTCTTAAAGTTTAAACCAAACATTGAGCATTTTAATCCAGCATAGTGTTATAGACAGAATGTTTAGTAAATCAAAAAAAGATCACTGACAATAAATTTGTAGCATAGTGTAGCCCAAAACTTAACACTCAAGAGAGGAAGTCTTTGTCTTGCTGTACAGTCAGCTCTGGCCTGGAGTCCTGCCTCTGTCCTCCAGGCCAGCTCTCATGAATTTCAGATGTAAAAACTTCAAATCTGGAACTACATGTATGTAGAACGAACCTGAATTTGTTTAATCTATAGACACATATATTAACAGTACATGTAAAAGAGTCGTAAACTATTTAAAATATGTTATGACTGAACAATGTCCTTGTAATCATACAGAGGACAATATTTGTAGTTTGATATTTGCTTTCTATTTAGTGCTGGTAATTCACCATTAGTAATTTATTTCTACCACTTGTGTCTGTGCTGGAGTCAGATTTATGCATGCCATAACTGTAAATCTGCTAATCAATGAATGGCAATTTTCCATGTGTACTTATGAGCACAACCAATTATATTGTTCCCTCCTTCCAGATGCTCTTGAGTCTAATCTATGAATATTTTTGTCAAAACACACCTGCCAGTCTTAGTGGTAGTCTTAGACTTGGTCAGCATGTGATGCCATAAGACAGGGGTGGCCAAATCTAGTCCTTGACAGTTTTAAACTCCAACTCAGCGCTTGACTGAATATTAATGACGCAGCTTGGCCATTTGATTCAAGCGTGGAGAAGAAGGGACACAACTACAAGTTGCAGGATTTTTGGCCCCTGAAGAATGCAGTTTGAGACCACTGATCTAAAGATTGTAAGATGTTTGCTCTTGAGGACTGAACTTCTACCTCCATGATGGGACCAAAAATAAAAATACAATTATGATCATTCTGTTTACTCCCAGAACAAGAATCAAGCTCGGACTATTTCGAAGAGATTCTATTGGTTGTGATTGGTGGTGATTCACTGATAATGGTACAATAAATTAAATTCTACTAATTGACCAACTTTGTGAGTTCTTTTATTCTTGTGAAAACTTAGTACATCATTCATAATTATAATATTTACTAAATTTTAACAATGAAATAGCACTCAAGCCTGGTGTAGGGAGTTTAGTTGAGAAGTGTAGGTGCGTGCGTGCTGTTTAAGATAGCTGATCACTGTGAACGCGCACGTACGAGCCTTGCAAGTCATCACCCATTGCGTCAGCGCGCTCCTTCGGCCTCGCCGTCAGCGCGCGTGCTCCGTGCGGGATGCTGGATTGTAGGTGATGATGGCGGAAGGGGAGCGACGCTGAGTTCCATCCGAGTTTTTACCCCAGCTGTAAAAACCACCCACAACCACCTTTTCTCTCCGTCGAGACCTGTCCCGAAGCGATGGGGAACGAGGCCAGCATGGAGGGGGAGGGACAGGCGGGACAGCCCGGCGCCGCCGTCCCTGCAGCGGGGGCTCCGACTTCCATTTCAGCACCACCGGACTCTGGACAGCTCCTCAAGCCCAGCAATGGAGCGCCAGCCGGAGGAAGTGGGGCTGCGTCCGGGCCGGGGATTAACAGGTAGCCGAGATAGCTAGGGGAGGCTTCACTGTCCAAAGTGTGGGCAACGAAGCGAAATCAGGGAGGATTCACGGCAGCGTGCTGTAGCGTACTGTAGCGTTCAACCAGCAGCGTAGATATAGGCTGAACCGACTGCGTGTAGATAGACATGAATGGGGGCTTAATTATTTATTTCAATACCCCTTGTCAACATTATTAACAACCGCTTATTGAAGCCTCTTTCATTTTGGCATCAAGTCTGTCTTTGTCGATTTGCTTTAAATCGATCAAGTAAACGGAAGCAATCGTACGTAAATGTCGCTTTAAGCGATTTCAACAGGAATTTCTACGCCCTTTTTCTACGATGTCTGCCCCGAGGATTCAGTATCATGAATGAAAGCGACAATTTCAGGCAGGACCGAGTGTTACAACTTGAATCTTAGAAGCATAATTTTCACCCTCATATGCAAGGTGATGGATTTCAGAATTTAATAATGAAAATTTTAAAAATGAGGCGGAGAAAAAAAAAAGCAAAGTGTCTCCAGTTCTTATAAGAGGGGTGGGTCGGTTCTACTACAGGCTTCTTTGACGTGATTTCCAGTAAATACAGGGTCATTGTGAAAAACACATCTTCCTCCTTGGCAGCAGCAGACGTCTGTCTCCCTGATGACAGCGTTGTGTAGGATGTCACTGCTCCCATCAGATATCACCAACGTCATTGAGAGTGCAGGACCAAAACATATGCCATTGCCGTCTTAGTTACCAGATCTCATTCTCAAATTAATATGCTGTGAGATTAAAATTCCAGCTGGTCAGAAATGGGTCATTTACTCTAGAGAAAGTGCTGTTTATCTCCTCCCTGAACGAAATCTTGTGCCATTTCAGTATTTGCAACAACACTGCCCTCCTACTAGCATTCTCATATTTAAACCCACACAGAAGGCTTAAAATAATGCAGCGTAAACTGATCAAATACTGACAGGGAACATGTCTGTGGTCACATGTGGCAACTTGGATGTCAGTATTTTCGGTGTGGGTGTGTGTTAGGGATTACCCTTCTAACAAGATCTGATATTGCCTAATTACACAGTTCAACAGTTGTAAACCTTAACACACTCAGTCATTGCTGCATCGTGGATTTGCCACACCTGCTTGCAGTCTCTGTGCAACAGTTTCTGAGGCTGGCGTGCAAATAGATTTATAGATTTCCTTCGTGTGGTTAAATTACAAGGTGCAGAGTTGATGCTTTGTTTCAGACTATGACTTATGGCGGGGAGAAATTCTGAGGTGTAACATTTTATAAATACCTTATGCCTTTATGTGCAGCGTCTTGCAACGCCTCTGGATATTTTTCACATTGTTGCATTAGGATTACAAACTTTAATATGTTATGGCATTGTATCTGACATACCACCATAAAATAGTGCACAACTGTGAAGCAGAAGGAAATAAAACAAGGCTTTCTCACCTTTTTCACAATTACAAATCTGAAAAGTGTGGTGTGCATATATGTTAAAGCCTACTACTAAATACTTTGTAGAACCACCTTTTTTATTATGGGGTAAACCGCCTTTATACCTGCTTTGCACATCTAAGGACTGCTATTTATTTTATTCATTATTTTTTTTTCAAATTAGCTGTCGTTCAGTTAGGCTGAGAGTTTCTGCGTATATCAATTTTCAAGTCTGGTCACAGTCTCTCAAATGGAATCTGTGATCAGAGGGAAATGAACCATTTTCAGGTCATGAAAATGGTTTGAACTAAACATTTTCAACATAACTCTGACTGTATATGTATTCTCTTTGTTGTACTGGAAGTTGACCCTCCTCCTGACTCTCAAGTTTTTTGTAGCTATAGCAGGCTTTCTTTCATTGTTGCTCCATGTTTTGTAATGTCTATCTTCCTTTAAACTCCCCTTCTTTTCTTAGGAAAAGCATTTTTCCTCCTTGACACTTTTCCGTTAAGTCCAGATTTGTGAATTTTATGTCTAATAGTTGCCTGTCAGTTGAATCTTCCAACTGAGCTGGGGTTCTCTGCGGCTCTTTCAGAGTTGCCTTTTTGTTTGCCTCTTTGATTACTACTCCTCTCTCCTGTCAATTAATGTGAATTGCCATGTCTTTATAGGTTTGTAGTTGTGCTATACTCTTTCCACTTTCCGGAGGGGGGATTGGACAGAGCTTTGTGAGATGTTCAAAGCTTTGAATGTGTCATGTTTTTATGAGTGAACCCTGCTTTAATTTATTCACTTCTTTTATCCTTGATCTGTGTGCTGTGTTCATTGATCTTCATGACATTATGCATTCCCAAAATGTTATGATTTGTAATTGTGAAAAAAAGATAAGATCATGTTCCATCCTCTGCACAAAAAATCCATAGATGAAATATAAAATAGTTCAAGTGGAATGAATACTTTTGCAAGTATCAGTACCGTATCTTTGTAGAAAAGATTCCTGTGTCTTGCCTGTGTATTGTGTGGGGTAGATTTAAATGCTCATAGCTTGCTTGTTATCTCATGATTTTTTTATATCTCTTTTTCTTCCTAGTATCCCCCCTTTAGGTTCCTCATAAAGAGAGTGCAGAGACTGAGTGCGCTAACAAACAGAGAGGCAGAATTAGAAATGAGCAGAAGGAAAGAGAGTAACATCGAAGCACATGGGTGATTTAAATGGTTTTCTTGAGATCATGAATCTGGCTTTAACATATTCCTTTGCGAAGAAC